CTGAGCATATCTGAGAATGATTTTACTCCATATTTAGAGCCAATCCCGCTTAATAAAGTTCAAGAACTATCGAGGAATTCAAAATATATCAGCAAAATCGAATTTCCAAAGAAATCAAGTGGGCACTATTAGAGTATTTCTTCATTATTTACTCTAAAATGACATTTCTCCTTATTCTCACGACTTTTATACAAAAAATGATGAGATGATATACCAGTGACATAGCTAAGAAGAAAAATCGTCAAGGCGAAAAATATTTCAAAACCTGTTAACTAGCGCCTCGTCTGTCTCATCCAGAAATATGAGCGCAAATTGTCCCTAAGAAATATGAATGAAAACTTATTCTTAAAAAACACCAGTAAAATATGAACTTGGTACGATGATGGCAAAAAGAACATGCGTTTACGTGATGGGATTGTGCACAATTGAATCAAAAATTGATGATTAAGATAAAAAATACTAGTAGATAAAATATACATTTATATATAATAGAGGAATATTTCTCAAAGGATGTTCAAAAGTGATGAGGCAAGCGCCTCGTCTGCCTCATCCTGGCTATGCTAGAATCCACAATTGGTATAACTTTAGATCAATATTCAACAATCTCTCGTGGAAACAATATCGTTTATTTTTGTTCCTTTTAGCGTTCTTTAAGGTGACTGTTAACTTAATCGATTTTCAATTTCAAAATTTCACAATCTTGAAATTTTCAAACTCTTCCTGAGAAGTCGTTTTTATTATTTCACATATGCTTGTGCACTGTAATCATTACAAACACGCCCGGTGATCGTGAATATGGGACGGAGGGGGGGAGCAGGCAATATCTGCTAGGAAATTCAACAAATCTGGAAGATTTATTTTTTCAAGAAAAAAGTTTACTATTGAATTGCTAAATGGATAGGCGCACGGTATGGTAGAATATGTTAGGTTTTCTGGGATTTTTTCTGAAACGATACGCATCTAAGGTATGAGATCTATTAAAAAAGGCGCAAGGCCATCAACAGGCACAAATCAACGTTTTTGCTATAAATTAAGCAACGATGGTCTGGACGACCTGTAATAAATACTTGTAAGTGATGTTATCATAACTAAATTAATGCCATTGCTGAATTTATAAAATAAGTTTCCATATGTGAAATAAAAAATAATCGAAAATAATGAATTTGGGACGGAGGGGGGGAGGGGACGGAGGGGGGGAGCAATATGTATATAAGACATGATTAGAGATGTTTCGCGACTTTAAGTCCTTTCACTCCAAATGTCCCCATTTTTCAGTCTCCAGGGGTATATCATCCAGTTTCTTACTAAGTTAATGAGTTCATTTTTCAAATACAAGAATTCGTGTGAAGTTGCTTCACTTTATAGAATTATTACTCCCCCCCTCCGTCCCCCCCCCCCCTCTGTCCCATTTTAATTATTTTCGATTATTTTTTATTTTACGTATGGAAACTTATTTTATAAATTCAGCAATGACATTAATTTAGTTATGATAACATCACTTACAAGTATTTATTACAGGTCGTGTAGTCCATTGTTGCTTGATTTATAGCAAAAACTTTGACTTTTGCACGTTGGTTGCGTTGCGCCTTTTTTAATAGATCTTATATCTTAAAAGAGTATCGGTTGAAAAATAATCCTAGAATACCTAACATATTTTATCATACCGTGCGCTTATTCAATTTGCAATTAAATCGTAAACTCTGTCTTGAAAAAATAATTTTACCAGATTTGTTGAATTTTCTAGCGGAAATTGCATGCTCCCCCCCTCCGTCCCATTTTCACGATCACCGGGCGTGACAAAGACATCAAAGAACAACAAAAAACTTTAGTTTGAGAAAAAAAGTGCCGTTTAAAGAATTTGAGAAGATTTTTTTCTAGGAGTAGCCCGTGAAAAACCGCTGATTCAAAATATCTGAACATTTCAGAAAATATACTTCAAACATATATCAAAAACGAAGGAGCAACGGAAATTTGAAAAATTACCCGATAAAAAAATTGGGATCAAAATAAGGAAAAAAGTACACTTCTCAAATTGTTTTTTTCTATTTTTTTTTAATTTGTATGAGAGATTTCAAAGTTCTAAAGCTCCTTCCATTTTGGACTACAGTATATATTAAAGGGATGTTTCAGAGAAATTAGAAAAAAAATGTTCAGGGACCTTTGCCGTGCTACTCTTTTTGTCAATTTTTCTGTCACATTTTCAGAGGACTCAAATTCCCATTCCAAAATGTTTACTGTTTCTATTTGCATTACCACAGTGTGAGTGAGCCTGGTTATATAAATGATAAGTGGAACTAAAAAATTGAGAGAAAATCCAACCAAAAGACAGTTAATTTTGATGGTCAGATTATACTCAAATGCCATGTGCTTCCTGGTTTCGTCTATCTTGGATGTTTTGATTAAGTTATAAGTTACCTTAAAAGAGAGAATCAGAGATAGCGAGCAGGCTAAACAAAAAATTGTTTCAATTTTAGAATATTTTTGGCTCATGTCATTCCTTGTCATGTCTATTTTCTAAAAATCACAAAAGTGCATACTTTATTCAAGGAAAATGAAAGATTTTTACAATAATGTATTATTTTTCTATAAGAATGGTTACCATTCTTATTATTTGGGAGAATTTAAACATTTTTCACCCATTTTCGCACTTTGAATCATTAATAACTTCACCAATTTATAACATATTGTGAATCTTTTGGGAGATATTGTTTTGATATTGTAAGGAATAGATTGGTAGGTCAATTATAAATGTTGCTTGTAATTTTGTCACCCCCTATAGATCTGATTCTGCCTTAAGGACAGGGTGCATGTTGGGAAATTTTCTGCATTCCTCAATTGAGTCACATGTTATTTTTCAAACAAAAATAACTCCTTCCCCACATTGTCTACATCTTCCAGGTTTGCACAAAGAGTGCACTTATGTGCCTAGAAAAGCCTTGTGAGAAGATTTGTTTTGTAAAATGTATAAAAAACGAGAAAATTCAGTGAAAAAAAATTCTGAAAATTTTCTGAATTTTTTCACTGAATTTTCTTGTTTTTTATACACTTTATCAAAACATTCTTCTCACAAGTCTTTTCTAGGCACATAAGAGCACTCTTTGTGCAAACCTGGAAGATATAGACCCTCTGGGGAAGGAGTGATTCTTGTTTGAAAAATAACATGTGACTCAATTGAGGAATGCAGAAAATTTCCCATCATGCACCCTGACCTTAAGGACAGGGTGCATGTTGGGAAATTTTCTGCATTCCTCAATTGAGTCACATGTTATTTTCAAACATGAATAACTCCTTCCCAAATTTGTCTACATCTTCTAAGTTTGCACAAAGAGTGCACTTCTGTGCCTAGAAAAGCCTTGTGAGAAGGTTTGTTTTGTAAAATGTATAAAAAATGAGAAAATTCAGTGAAAAAAATTTCTGAAAATTTTCTGATTTTTTTCACTGAATTTTCTTGTTTTTTATACACTTTATCAAAACATTCTTCTCACAAGTCTTTTCTAGGCACAGAAGTGCACTCTTTGTGCAAAACTGGAAGATATAGACAATGAAGGGAAGGAGTGATTCTTGTTTGAAAAATAACATGTGACTCAATTGAGGAATGCAGAAAATTTCCCATCATGCACCCTGACCTTAAGGTCTCATGGAAGTTAACAGGAAATGACAAAACAAAAAATGACAAAGCCATGCTGGATTTTGAAATTTTTTTGAACCAAGATAACAGAGTTCTCTTTGGACCTCCAGTCAGTTTAACTAGTTCCACATATCATTTACATGACCGGGAACACAATTGAAATGGTCAGAATGACCATAGAACATGATAGAATAACCTTTTCAGCCCTCTGAAAATGTGACTAAAAAATAGCTAAGAGTCGGTGCTCAGGAAAGGTCACTGAACAGAATCTTTTGAATTTTTCAGAAAATGTGCCCAATATATTGGTCTAAATGATACAATTTAAAAAAATTTGATATCATTCTTAGAAAAAGACAAAAATGAAAAAAACTGAATTGAAAATCGATCTATTTTCCTTTTTACTCCAGCCATTATTGTTTCAGACGATTTTTAAAAATTTCAAAGATTGTATCATTTAGAGCAATATATTGGGCACATTTTCTGAAAAAATCAAAAGATTCTGTTCAGTGACCTCTCCTGAGCACCGACTCTTAGCTATTTTTCAGTCACATTTTCAGAGGGCTAAAAAGGTTATTTTATCATGTTTATGGTCATTCTGACCATTTCAATTGTGTTCCCGGTCATGTAAATGATATGTGGAACTAGTTAAACTGACTGGAGGTCCAAAGAGAACTCTGTTATCTTGGTTCAAAAAATTTTCAAAATCCAGCATGGCTTTGTCATTTTTTGTTTTGTCATTTCCTGTTAACTTCCATGAGACCTTAAGAAACCCTTACACTTCCTGAAATTTTGACCAGGGGTTCGCACAAACCCCTCAAACCCTTTGGTCGCTACAGTGTTGCCTGGCCTTAGCCCCCAGGCGCTAGGCTAAAATTTTATCCTAAGTTATATCAATGATATGTAGATCTAGCCTAGGCCTAGTCTAAATATTGACCATAGATTTTATTTTCAGTTTCAATTGAATAAAATATTGGAGACCTAAAACCATAATCGTTCATCAAATAATGAATACATATATTCAACATAACATCGACTTCTCAATACACTTGACATTAATTGTACAAGTCCTAAAATAAACAACATTATATTTACCTGATTTGGAAAATAATTTTTTATTTGGCAAAGTTTTGACAGCCTCGGTTTCACCAATTTTACGAACGGCTGTTTCATTAGAAGAGTATATTTTGACAGAACTGTTTAGAAAATCATTTTGTTTTCATTATTTACCACTAGGAAGATATATTGTATAAACGTTTAAATCATGCATTTCGTGATGGAATAACAAATATAACTGCGGATGATCGCATTAAGATCCTTTTCTGACTAGACTAGATTCGTTCGCTATCTGAATGCAAATCTCGTTCAAGTCTCAGGAAAACGCGAGATTTGTAATGTAGGAAATTTTCTAGAAATATCACTTGATTTCTCTTCTTTGCCTATTGCTAGTGAGTATATTTCCTTAGTAAACGATAAAGTTAAAGTTAAACCTCGATGCAGACCCCTAGCTCCTTCAATTATGTAGACTATTTTATTTTTGTTTTTTTTATAGAAATGAAACTGACTCAATCAATCACTGATCACATCAGGTCAGGTCACAACAACATAGTGGTGAATAAAAATAATGACTAACACTATGAAAAATACATTCTGTCACATATGTCATAAATCCTTACCTCAGTGAATTGAGTGCTCTATTTTCTTCTTCACGGAACGTACACGTATTGTGGAATTTGTGTCCATGATGACAAATAGGAACTAAAAATTTGAAGTGATATTCACATGTAATGCCGACTCTTCAAATGTTGAGGTGATTTTGGAGCATGATTACGCCGCAAGTAGGATTGAATCCCAGAATGCAACATGACACGTGCCAGCTTTCAAAATGACGTGCTGCCATTTTGAAAACTGTCACAAGTAAATAAGGTTAACTGATGTTGCATTCTGGGAGTCAATCCTCCTTGGATAACAAACATGGCCATCCATGAAAACATTTGTTTGATTTGGTAGGAATTTATCCATCATTTGCAGGTATGAAGCTTTGGATTCATTTATTGTGCTACTTAGAGTGAACGGGAATTATTTTTCTACCTCTTGGAAGAGTTTGAGACTTGAAACTTAGAATTTAGCTCATTGTGACAACCTTTGATGGTTGAGGTTTATTAATGTCTCCGACTATAGATGAGCCAAGGGAAATGCAAAATCGAAGTTTGTCCACTTGGAGTAAAAACTGTTTCAGGGGACTCATCTAATTTTTTTTATACATGTTCCCCGGACTATGTCACTCACCTTGACTGCTCACTGGTCCATTGGGTGTAAGAAAGGTGACTGATACTGAAAAGTGAATACTAAAATATGTGACAAACTTTGGTTATGAAGCATAGGTTTTACTTGTAGAGAATAGTAACCTCATGATTCCGTAGATTGTGCATATTCATAATTATTTTCAGACTCGCCTGAGTTAGCTGACACTTCTTAAAGAGATGTCTTTGCGACCAAAGCGAGTAGACTTTGATGCCACTTGGGCTGGACTGTTAGACACTGTTCAAGGTGTAATAACATGTGGCTCCGTAAAGAGAACTGTTTGGATAGACAGATATTCATATCCTTTTAATTTGAGTTGTATACTTAATCATGAACATAGATTATATCATCAATCAAAATTGCCCATTCTTTCATATCCTCAGAAATTCTCTATTCTTTGTTTACTTATGTTTTAATCAAAAAGAAGTCATCCAAGAAACCATTGAAATTGCAGTATTTACATTTTACATGTATAAATAAACTTCACATTTAATTTTTCGGATTTTTGGACAGAATCTGAATGTTCATTAATTAAATTAGAAGAATAGTACTGAAAGCGATGTGTCCCGTTCTGATCCAGAAGTGCTTGAAGTTCTGAGTTCCAATACGAACAATGGGTACTATGGAACAGGACAGATTTGGACAACTGTCTTATCCACAATGACATATAAATATCTGATTCATTGAAAGGGTCTTGAATTTGACAGGGTTAAGCCTGATTGAACTTCTTCAAGTGCCTTCAATAATTATTTATAAATTAGCAAATCTACCATTGACATCTTCAATAGTTGGCAATTCTTATGTATATTCAACCTTAATTGAATCACTGATGTGTATGCATTATGTGTGGCCTACCCTGAACCTTTGGGAGATAAACTCTACACTGAAACCAAGAACTTTCTGGATGCTTATGTGAAGGATCTTCACAAGGTAATTGCTCCACATGTTAATGTTATAATCCATAAAGTGTACACAATGTGTTTTGAAATTGATATGCTGTGCTCATATGTATTATAAATTATTGCTTACAGAACATTTTTATCTTAAATTATTCAGTCTAAAGATTTTGGTATATGTTTGAAATCAGCCAAAAATTCTTCAGAATTGTGCAGTTTTTCACTATTCTGAGCACATTTCAAGTGATTTTGGCCATTTTTGGGACAAAGTTGTCAAAAGCGGACCCTTTGGAATTTTTCTAAAAGCGAAGCCCCCCTTGGCAAATCCTGGCAAATTCCTAAGAATGAATATGTAATGTCACCCTGGTTTCACTGTTATGTAAGTCTGTAGGTTTAAATTAAAATGTTTGATGAATTTCAGAAAGTCGGAATAAGTGATGAAAACTTGTTGGCTGCATACCACAAACATTGGGTTGACTTCAGCCAGGGCTCAACCTATCTGAATCAGCTGTATGGGTAAGTTTAGGCACCAGGGTGTGGAGGGGGGGGGGGTTATTTATGAATGAATAAAAAGTGAGAAATGCAATTGTCCAATGAGTTGAATTTCAGAGGCTAGCAATTTAAGTCTACCCTCTGAAATGTAGGCAATTTTAATTTGCAGTTTTAAACAGATAAAATTTTGATGACCTCATTGAAATGGGTGTTTCATCACAGATTAAGTGCAATGCCCGGGGTGCAATGGATAAATTCTGAAACCGATAAGCTTTACAAAAATACCTTTCCTACAAAAATACTAAGTATTATGTTCAATTCAGAGCATATTGGGTGATCGGTATGAGCATATTGAAATATTATAATCAGCTTGCATTTTACAATAAATATATATTTGTTTATATTCTAGGTACCTGAATACCCAGTTCATAAAGAAACAGAAGTGTACAGAGGCAGATATAAACTATGGAGGTTTTGGTATTGAAATGTCAGAACACATGCTGGAGATTGGGGAGGTGAGTACAGCTAGATCAATTTGCATTTAGTTAAACATGTGTATTTGAACGTCTCAAAATATGTATAAAAATCTTTTCTTGGAGAATGATTGAAAAGTACTCCTTTCGGTGTTTTGGAGGCATTTTTATCGGTGTAGTAGTGAAAATGGCATGTTATATGCAGACATTAAAATGTCAGTCTTGTTCAGGCTCAATTGGAATTTATCTCAAAATAATTTTGTTGGGACCCTGCAGTGTTCACTATAGACAGGTTCTACTGTATGGTCTGATATGGTCAAACTCAAGTTGTGTGTGATATCTAGTCAAGTACAAAATCTGTGTATAAGAGAAATCATATTGACAACAATATATAGGGGTTATGCACTGGGAGGTTTTGGATACAGGGAATATCCCGAGGGATATACAATATATCTTCCCGAGGGACCGAAGGGACCGAGGGAAGATGTATTGTATATCCCAAGGGATATTCCATGTATCCAAACCGACCGTGCATAACTGGTGTATCTCATACTTGAGTGGGTTTTAGGTTTAGGATAGATATAACCTTTTCCACCTTTTTCAAATGACAAGATATTTATATTTAACATTTTCGATATATTCTTTTTGTTCAATACAATGAAATTGTAACATTTAAACTTAAAAAAATTAAATTTTAAAATTAAAAAATTAAAACTTGATATTTAAACTTTTTTAAACTTTTGAAAAATTCCCGGGAGCGGGATGGATATATTATATCTGCCCGCATTTGGCCTGGAGCGGGACATATACAATATATCCTGCCCGCTCCTCAGATACGATATATATTCCCGGGTGATATCTACCCCAAACCCACTCAAGTATGAGATACATATATATATTCAGTGTTGTCATTTTGTGGCACTTAAACTGCTTGAACAACTATGGCCTCTTTTTTCATTTAATGTAACATGCAAGGAATTTACAAATTGTTATTTTCAATTGTGTTTTTAGCTTGCTCTTGACACATGGAAAAGATTGATGCTTAAGCCACTGAGACAGAAGCTTCTACATCTAGTTTTAGCAGAGATAAAACAGTGAGTATTAAAACACAAATAGAAAGAAGGCTATCCCAAATATTTTCTAAGCTGCTGCAGTGTAAACAACCCATTTGATCATTTCTCATTTTGATAATAATTTTAGATGAGATACTTTCATTTTTGACATATAATTTACAGCATTATTTACAGTAAAACCTCTCAATCTGAATGTCAATCAGACTGACTTAAAGTGTTCAGATTTCAAAGTTTCTTGTGGATATGTGAGTCAATGGGACAGAAAAGGTGTTCGCATTGGGAGTTTTTTGGATAGCGAGGTGTTTAAATCTATAGGTTTTACTCTACTCCATCAAACAATTCTTGATATATTCTCCAGAGAAATATTACCAGAGATAGGGATACTTGTCAGTGACTCACAAACCCATTTGACTAGAATTTAAATTTATCTACTGGAAGAACTAATTACTTTGTAGTGACCGAACGGGACAAAGTGTGAACCAATCAGTTCTCCATGGAGTGATCAACTCATTTGTTGAAGTTGAACAATACAAGAAAAAGTGTCCATTGCAGGTATATGCAGTTAGTTTATGTGAATTGTTTCATGATGCTAGTATAAAAGACAATTGAATTACACAATATTTTTTATCGAGTTTTAGACTCAGGGCCAAAATGTCTATGTTTTTTGTGAAACCAATTCAACAAAGGCTATAGACCCCCTCCCCATATTTAATAAATCGTAACGATTTTTCTAGATTAAAAAAACATACATTGTTATCCCATCGAACAAAGTTCAGAGGGATATAGGGAACGCCTCCATCTGACCGTCCGTCTGTCCATCCATCAGTCCGTCCGTCTGTCTGGGCGATAACTCAAATACTGTTCGCCCGATTTTGTTCATATTTTGTAAACATGTGCCCTATTGGAATACAAGTTCTGCTCAAAAGCCAATTTTTAAAATGGCTGCTCGTTTTAGTGCCTATTTTACAGTTATTTAGGAACTGTATATGAAATTGTAATAGCAATATGTTTTAAATGTAAAAAATTTATATAGGACATTTATTAAGCTAGAAATGTAAATATATAAGAAACACATGGCAGCCATCTTGAAAAATGGCTTCCTGTGCACATCATTTTAATATTTTTGCTGTAGCTCGAAAAGGAGTGGAGCGATTTTGTTCATATTTGGTATGTGAATACTATCAGCATGGCACACTGTCTACTGACACTTTGGGTGTAAAAATTATGGCCATTTAAAAATGGCCACAATTTTTACATTTTTTACTATATCTCGAAAAGTAGTGGAGCGATTTTATTCATATTTGATATGTGAATAATTTAAGCATGGATCATTGTCTAATACCACTTTGGCAAGTAGGTAAAAATGGCCACCACTTTTACGTGTGTTATTTTACATTTTTTACTATAACTCAAAAAGTAATAGAGCGATTTTGTTCATATTTGATATGTGAATACTCATAAGCATGGCACACTGTCTTACGACATTTTGGGTAGTAGGCGGCCATTTTCAAAAATGGCCACCATTTACATGTACGTGTGTGTTATTTTACGATATTTGCTATATATTTTGTTTATAAAAATGCCAGCCATTGTTGTTCAATGGGATTTGCTATGCTTTGGCGTTGCTGTTGTCAAATTGGTATTCATTACGAAAGAATATTTCATCGACCCAATCCAACTCAATATGATATGAAAGAATAAATTATTAAACTATTTGTTTTTATAGTTATATGAAGATATGTTTGAGACTGCATTCCTCGCGGAAACTGGGGATTATTACAAGCAAGAAGCCAGCAAATTATTGAACCTTCATAACTGCTGTGAATATATGGAAAAAGTAAGGCAAGCCATGTTCAATCAACTATCACACGTTGATATCATATTAGAATATGTCTGTATGTCAATAGAAGTATAAATCTACAAAAGACAGTACAAATATAGATTGCAAAATTGGATTGTAAATAAAGATATTTTTCTTAAGCATGATTCTCACTCCAACATCTGAACTTAATTTTAATTGAATTCACATGAAATGATTTCTGACTATTTTACAACATGTTCCAGGTCATCCATAGACTAGATGATGAGAACCTACGCAGTAGAAAGTTCTTACACGCAAGTTCATATCGGAAAGTAACTCAGGAGTGTGAACAGAGAATGATTGCTGATCACCTTGAATTCTTACATAGTGAATGCAAATCAATGGTGAAACAGGAACAGAAGAAAGGTAGGGATATGCTTGGGGAGTAGGGGTGTTACAGAAATGGGAGGAGGTGTTACAGAAATGGGAGGAGGTGTTACAGAAATGGGAGGGGGAGTGTCATGCTGAGTGATGATGTGTTAATTGCTGAGTATAATGTAATATTTAATCAGCCATTTCAACTCATTTGGTGTTGCTCTTTGAATGTGAATCAAAGTCGCATGGTTTCAAGGTCACCTGCCTTCAAACAGACTCAAAATGCAATGATATTCACTTAGAACAAAACACATCGCTAATATAAAGTAATAATTGAATTATTATATTGTTCAGTTGATAATGATGTCATCTCTTTTACCTTTCTGTATTTTACGATTCCAGATTTGAGTAACATGTATCGCCTCTTGTGTCCTATAAGTGGTGGACTAGGAGTCCTTATACAAGAGGTGGAGTCCCACATTAAACATGTCTGCCTACAAGCTGTATCAAATCTAAAAGGAGATAATGTAAGGATTTTGTAGGATGTTTTCACTCATTTCAGTTAAACTAATGTAGCATATGCATCATGGTAGAGAAAAGAGATCTTTTGCTTTTGCAATATGAAAAGGGAACAGAACATCATTGATTTTTAGTTGAGCTAATCAAAGTTTTGCAGCATTTTGAATATCATTTGAATTCGAATTTTAAAAGACTAAGCATTTTACCACAGAATAGTTTATTTTTTAAAATGCTTGTTTTTTCAGATGTTGATTTTTGACCCACTTTCCATTCTGAATTTTTCCCCTTCATGTTCTGTACTTCTCAACAAAGATTGTGCAATGATTCGATAAGTTCATCAGAGTAATATCTGAATTTTATGAAACACTATTCTACAGTGGACAAATATTTACTTAATTTTGAATTTTTATTATCTCCAATACATATGATTCATTTATAATCCTTATTTCAGGCCCGTAGCCAAGATTTGCCAAGGGGAGTTCAGTTGAGAAGTGCTCAAAATGGTGAAAAACTGCATGATTGTGAAAGAATTTTTGGCCATTGAGGGGGTTCGCCCGAACCCTGCGCACCCCCTGGCTATGGGCCTGTTATTTGTCTATTCTTTCCATGAATTACAATAACTACTTGCACTTTCATTAATTTTAGATCCCTGCTCAATTTGTTGAGAACATCCTTAAAGTCCACACAGATTACACAGAACTTGTCTCCAGTGTGTTCAATGCTGACCAGCAATTCACAGGAGCCCTTGATAAGGTAATATACACATCCCTTGTTTCACATTTACAGATGTTCAAAAAATAATTAAAGGAAAGTAGTATAAAGTGTATATGTGTTGTATATATCGGGCATTAGTGTAGAATAATCAGTCTATAAACAAAAATAAGAAATATAGCATTTTTGATGGTGTATTTATTTAGTGTAGCAGTGTGGTATATAAAAAGTTTCTTTTTTAGGCCTGTTCTGCTGCAATAAACTACAGAGCAAGTACCAAATCTCCATGTAAATCTCCTGAAATGGTAAGAAATCATCAAATATAAATAAATGTTTTTAAAGGGTAAAGCTCATTTCAATATTTTCGATATATCACATCTATCATATCATCCAGCTTTCGGTTTTAGTTAATTTGTTCAATATTTTCATGAAACGTTGAAAATGTTGATTTTTAAAAATTCAATAGTTTGCTTCCACAAAAATGAAACAGACAGCACTAGAGTAGGAAGACATTTTTCATCGCTTTGTCATGGTTGACTTTTTCCAAAGTAGAACAATATAACAAATAAATTGAAGAAGTGATTCAATGAAAAATTTTATTTTCAGCTTGCCAAATATTGTGACACACTACTCAAGAAAAGTGCTAAGGGGATGTCCGAGTCGGAAATCGATGATAAACTAAATGCTTCAGTAACAGTCTTTAAATACTTGGATGATAAGGATATATACCAGAGGGTAAGTTGTGGCGATAAATATGGGCTTCACCCAGTTTTTTTATATGGATATGGATTTAATATCCACTCTAAGAAATACAATTTACAAAAAATATAAAAAAGGGTGCTAGAAATGTTAATTGTCAAATGAAGGAATTAAGTGAATTGAATTGAAAAAAAAGAAAATAAACTTATGGATCTGACATTCACGAAATTAATATTTTGTCTTGAGAAATATATTCTTCACATGGGACTGCTACTCGGAACACAAAGCAATTGGGCCAAGTCAGAAAATGGCCTGCTTAAAAAATATATTTCAGTGTGGGGGCGATTCAACATTTGTCTTATGACAATGGTATGATACTATGTTTTCTGATCTTGTAGTTCTATGCGAGGATGTTGGCTAGAAGACTTATATATGGCCAGTCAGTCTCTATGGATGCTGAAGAAGCTGTTATTAACAGACTCAAGGTAAGTCTAGTCTTTTTTATAAAGGAATGATCTGATAAATGTATATATCTTTCGGTTCTCTTTAGACTTTATATTAAATACAGTATAAAAAGTATGTTATAGTTTACTCTCCAAAATGTTATGGCAATGTTTCTGTCTGTTTCAATGTTTCTGAACAATACACTTCTAAACGTGATATGAGACCTACATGTATAAACCTTACAATATAATATCTTTATTTCAATATGTTTACAGCAAGCCTGTGGGTATGAGTTCACTAACAAGTTACACAGAATGTTCACAGATATGACAATTAGTGGTGACTTGCAAAATAAATTCCACGACTTTATCAAACAGGATGAAATAGATCTAAAGACCAATGTATCAATATTGGTGTTACAGGTATGTATTACATTCACATTTTTTACCATAATATAGTTTGTTCCAGATGAAGACCAGAAAAAATTTGATTTATTTTCAGTTTTTGCTTTCATTTATATCGCAACCCAATAAGGTGTATATTAAAGATTAACCTTCCTGTTATCTCAAAAATCTGCTTGGAACCACACCATTGGATTAACATGGGAAATTCCTCCAAGAGAATATTCCAGGGATTAAAGAATTGGGTGCAGTTTAATACACAATTTGAGAAATTATTGGCATACTAGCCTTGCCCAAGTCGGTATTTTTTTACTTATCTGATCTTGAATTATTACCGCCTTGTACAATCCAATACACCTGCGCTGATATTATGCAGAGTTATTCAACGGTTTCGAGATTTCCATAATATCTACGCTATCAGGGGTATCGCGAAACCTTATTGATTAACAGTTATACGCGTGGACACGACGTGTGACTTCAGGCTGATTGACCAATCAAAACGTTATCAGGTTGACCTGATTTGAAATTCAATGATCTGATCGATCGTTTCTTTAGAGTTACAATATATTATGCAATTAAAAAGAGGAGGGAAAGCCCCAGAGTTTAAAGATGACAGACATAATTACCTCTCTTGCTTACCACCTTCGTTCGTTTGAATTTTCATCGGCTAGTTATCAAATACTACACTTCGATGGGATGTTTTAATTGATATAGGCATACTCCGTTCACATTTCTTTATCTTGATGTGAAATGAGAAGCTATGATATTGGTTAACACGCCAGAAATGAACATAATATTATTCGAAGCGTATTTCGAAAATTTTGAAGACGTCATTTGTTTGTCGACTTTTGACCAATCAGCGACGATGTCATCTCAATACAGATTTACATTATAAGCGTATGTCATCTTTGAACCCTGGTGTTTCTCCCCCTCTGGTAATTAAATGTACATAGGGAATGTAAGAGTCATTAATATAAATTATGCAATAGATTTAAAACTGATTTCGCGATGAAAATGCAAGACCGAGTCCCCGGGACCGAGTCCAATGTAGCGGGTCTTGTAGTCGATCAGTGATTGAATCTCAGCCTACATGTTCATTTGAATTCAGCGATCGTTTCAACGTTTATTGTTGAAATCTTCTCACCTCCGGTTACCGATCGATGCTCCAGCATCCACTAAACTCTGATTGATATTTATCTTACTGATAAAATATTTGTATTTTCATGATGAATTCATGCAAGATTTGTTCGTGAAAAGTCCCGGCGAAAAGTAAAAAGTGTACTTGTTTTTGACCGTGCATAATAATGAGCTAACGCTGCAGGGCCGTCGTTGATTGGTCAAATTTTACCGACATAAACATTGAGTCGGTAAAGCACGTGGCTTTCTCTTTGGTACAAGGCGGTCATAATAGAAATCAAGAAAGTAAAAGAGACCGACTTGGGCAAGGCTATTGGCATACATGTAACCTATTTAAGACAGCATTTATATTATTCAGAAGCATCGAGCACAATGATTCCCAGCCCTCTAAAGTTTGAAAAATAAAAATACCTGGGTGTTAATCCATGGATAATCCTTGAAAATGAGAAATAATTTTTTGGATTATATGGTGCAATCTTATAGTTAATAAAACGTTTTAAAGTGTATTCCTGTTTTTAAGATGAAAAACATAAGCGAAATGCATGAAAAAACCCCCAATTCATTCTACAAACAACTCGTGCCCCTTTATTACAAATTTACAAGTTCTCATGCACAAATGTTGTTAAGCAATAATAATAATGATACACCAAAGCATAACATCCTAACCTATTTTGTGTTAGAAAATTTGTTAAAAAATAAGCAAGAAATTATCTCATAAGCACAGAAAAATGGTTCAGAGAAAAAGCAATTTTGATCCAATGGTTTATAAATATTGACAACTTATTTTCAATTTAGATAGGCCAACAATATTACTTCATATATTACTTTTTTGAAACAACATTGCTCTATATGTGACCTGAATCACAATCGTTTAAAATGCCAGGAATATTTTTTTATTATTCCCCGACTATACCTAGTAAAAGGTATTTCATGTAGGGCAATACCTGTTCATCTTTCAATGATTTTTGCAGTATGTATTGCCTGCAGCCCTTAGTGTAGGATTTGATCCTATGTTTTCAAAGAAATAAAATAATTTTGTACAAGTTACAAGAAATCACTAGAAGAAGTATGCTTGATTTGATGCATTTGATTCTGGGAATTTAAGTACCATATTTCAAAGCTAGGCATAGCGTTTTAACACCATAAAATGATTTTTTATTCAAAATAATTCCCTTGTACTAATTTTGGGTGTTTATAGGCACTCATCATTTGTAATTTGTTTGAATCAGAATAATTCACATTTATTTGCGTTTGAGCAAAGCGACATTAGCAAATAAATGATTTCTTTGTGCGTTGCGTAAATGAAACAGTTTGTTGTGTAGGGATAAGAGGTGATTGGTCGATGCTAGCTTAGTGAGTGAGTGATACGGTTTGAAGGATAGAGCGTCGGTTGTATAGTCATTTTGAGTTCTTGCCACGACAAAAACACTCAACATATTTTTTAAACACAATATAAAATTTGTAATTTGTATCGTTAATATGATCTTTAATTGATTGTTTATTTTTGTCAAGTTGAGAAACATTTACTTTATTAAACGTTATTGTATCAGGGTACATGTGTATTTTATAATTCTAAAACATTTACATGTCTTTGATCGATCGCGTACCTTTTCCTCATTTGTTTGGGGTTTTTAATGGCCGGGATCGATCAATTTCGCTAAATGTAATATTTAAGCCTTAATGATCTCGCTTAACAGCCGAGCTCTTTCATGTATTTAAGACTTTTTCAAAATAACATATTGTAGACAACATTATTGAGCCATTGTGACCAATATTTGTACATCACGTATATTGTACCATGTTCGTAACACCATGATTCTTCAATAAACGAAAGTGGCAAAGCTCACTTCCTTTCATATTGTAATTCGTATCTTCTGTTGCATCGAGCAAAGTAAAGAATCAGCTGTTTTATATGAGGATTACCTTATCAAATAAAATATTATCTCCTAACAAAATTAATTAATGTTTGCTATAGAGATCCAATATTTACACAATGCGAGAAGCTTAGCTTGAAGATTCATTCCAGTACACCATGTAGTTTATAAGTCCACATTAGGTTTGTACATGTATTTGACATTTTGGCACTAGGTAATCACTGTACAGTTTGGCATTAGTCAGAGAGTGCCACAGAGCCAGTGGTTGCAGAGAAGTGGTTTTAATTCCATGGGTTGACATGTTCACATTATTATGGTCATGGTATGCTCTACTTTGCAACTTTACACTGGAAAATACAATGATAAATGTTTATTTAGAAGAAAAAAGATTTAATATAGCTTGTGGGAAATAGGATTAACATTTTTTACACACCTTAGAATTAGAAGGTAAGACTGCATGTATAAGAAGCGCATGTATGTAAGTCTTTTCTTGGAAGCGCTATATGAGTATAATGTGTTTCAAGATGTATATAAAAGTGGGCGTTACCTTATTCTCTGTAGTTGTATGTGTGGATAGAACCTTTGTCATCCCCGATAATTAGGAGTCCATCATTGTCTATTGCCACATTAAGTGTGCGCCCCGGCCCTTCAAAATACCTGTTGAATTCACCATTTGGGTTAAGTATTCTGATCTTGTCATCAATGTCATCTACCACAAATATATTATCACATTCATCGATGCATAAGTCTATTGGTGAAATATCAGTATCTTTATATGTGAACAAGACAGTGTTGTCACTACGTATTCCTTTAACAACATCTCGACTCCAATCACTTACAATGATTACGTCCTTACTGTTGCAATATGGTTTCTCAAACATGTCTTCTGTAGTCTCAGCTGTTGTATCGCCTGTTGATGGATCTATGTGGTAAACTTTGTTGTTGGTGGTATCACACACCACAAATTCGCCCCAGGAATTCATTATTATAGCGGTCACTGAAGTCACGCCTTTACACACTATATCACGCTTAAATGCCCCATCTGATTGATACAGTTTGATGGTGTTTGAGCGATTGGTAAATGCAAGATCCCCTTCATTTGTAAGTGCTGCACTTTCAAATTTGTGTCCCATATCTTTCTTAAGTTGGAAGTTTACATCATATATTCTTGCGTTGGAGGTGCCTCCACCAGTTACTACATAATCGCCAGCTGGTGTAACAAGAAGTCCTTCTGTGTTGCTTGGATGGACATTATTCCTGCTTGGCCGAGTTGGTTCACATATTGTCCATTTTGCTTTCCTGATCAGTACCTTTCCAAAGCTCACATTGTCACCATCAATATGTCCATCTTTGAAAAGAATATTAAGTTTTTCGTTAAAGTCAACATTGGGTTTTTGTGCCCATTCTTTGGTTTTCTTGGCCACATGTTCAATGAGGCCTGCTATTTCTACAGGATGGCCATGTTCTACCATGGTGCAGTATTTGTTGACTTGACCCACAATAATGGCTTTCTGTAGCTCAAGGTGTCCCAAATGTGACATGATCTGCTTCACACTGGATTCCTTTTTCTTCACCACCTGTTCTGTGTATGATGTATATTTCTTTGGCAAAGCTTGGATTTAATTGTTCATATCATTATAAATTTTAGCCGTGATGTTTTCAGCATTTTGCTCAAGTTGACCTTTATAGGCTTGTGTATCTTGAATGGCCTGGTCATAAATATCGATAAGTTCTTTACCTTGTGTTATCACTGCACCAATAGGTTTCATGTTCCTGACAGCTGTTTGTTTAATGTCCTCGGCCGCATGACCCGTATGATCTGTTGTATAACAAATATAGCATAATGTAACCCTGTCGACTTTACAGTAGAATTCTAGGGTTTTGTAGGATGTTTCTGGCAGTGCACAGTGACAGTGCACTCTTTTATAGACTGAACTGCAGTTTGAAAGTCATTTGTAGTGTCACCTGTCAAGATAAGTATTTTGTGGTGAGGCAGTATGGCAGTATGGCAGTAATATAAGTATAAGTATAATACAAAAGCAAGTGCAAGGATTGGTAGATGTCAAAATTCTTACCAACTAGTGAGGCATTTACTTTCTATTAAATTGTGGATTATTATAACCTGTCAAGTTTAATATTAATTTCTTTTTAGTTCAGGATCAATCTCAATGAAGTTCTCTTATAAATGTTTATTAAGGCCATTCACTGAGGGGTATTCTGTACATACAATACTTTTACATTCGCATTCCCTTGCTGTAGATTGTTGAATTAATCTCTTAGAAATTATTCTCTTTTAATAGTATTTAACACCAAAGCTTCTGCTAAGACTTGTAAAAAGTATATCATACACATATCATTCTATGAACCAGGTGTTGGTATCAAAACTTTGTTCACTGTGACAGAGTATGCAATTTTTTATAAGACACTAAGAAAACTTCACAATTTATTTTTTAACTCATATGTTTCGTTATACCAAAGAAAATTACTTACTCCATGCAATGGATATATCATTTGCGGGGTACCTTCACTTAACGCTGTGAGTAAAACTTATTGAAAACGGCGCCAGAGTATCATACTATAAAATGTACCATTTTTAAGGGCACGTTATAGTGACACAGAAATATTTACATATGTTTTTAGCATAATTCTGAAGGTATTAATGAGATTAAATCTTGACCATGAGATATGGTTCTAATATAAATGCAGGACATAGACCACTCAGAGAGAGATGAAAACTATGGCAGTAATATAAGTATAATGATATGTTATATTATATTTGCATATCAGAAGTCATCATCAACAAAAACTTAACATACAAAATACTAAATCAAGACCTACAAAAAGCATGTTCACATACCATTTTCATCATTAAATTGTACATTTATGTCTTGCTTACTACATTACAGGCTGGTGCTTGGCCTATTGGGCACAGTAATCTACCAACATTTGCTATCCCTCAGGAACTGGAAAAAAGTGTTCGAATGGTAAGTTGTACCACTCATTCTTCACATGATAGAATAAATTTACTTGAGATTGAGCCTGTTATCAACTTAATATAAAATGGCTCAAGAGCCATTGACTTTTGGGAAAGACCAATTATAACTAAAATAAGTTATTATCAGTATTAATTTCATTCCCAAGAATTCAAAAAAAAAGTTTTAGAATGAATATGTATTTTTGTAATTTGTTTTGTTTTCATTTTAGTTTGAACTATTTTACAACAAAAATTTCAATGGCAGAAAATTAACATGGATGCACAGTTTCTGCAATGGTAAGTTTGATTACCTGAGAAGATTTTAAATTCTTGAAAATATTTTGCTATTGTGCATATTTAGCTGCAGTTTTCCCTTTAACTATTAAAATCTGAATGTGCAAGGTTTATAGAATGGCAAAATGAATAAAGGATATCTGTTACTTTTGTTAAAGGCAAGCACTGTGACAAAATTGTACAGTGTACATTTAAAATGTTTGAACTTCCAAATTTCTATGACAACTATACAAATGTTATACTTTTGAAATCTTTATCTTATTGTACATATGCATGTTTCACTTATGTTGAACCAACATATTTACAATTACGTTTATTTCGTGTTTATTTTTCAGTTGACCTGAAATTCAACTACCTAAAAAAGCCTTATTTTGTGACCATGGGAACATTTCACATGGCAATCTTACTACCCTTCAATGGGGCCACTTCTCAGTCATTTAGGGACATCTTAGAGTCCACCCAGCTACCGGAAAAAGAGCTTCAAAAGCAAGTGCAAGGATTGGTAGATGTCAAAATTCTTACCAAAGATGTAAGTTTTTCTATTTTCTTTTTTCTATTTAAACTCTTTTCATTTTTGGCCCTATTTTCTGTCAAAAAAGTCAAATTACCATAGTAACCATTATTTTTGACCAATCAAATTAGAGATGCAAATATTTCAGGGATCAATAAAAAAATATTTTTATACATGTAAGAATTTCATGAGAATCATTGAAATTACAGTATTTTTCCGTGAACTTATTGAACAACCTGGTATGTTACTATTCTTACGCAAAATTGTCACTATTCCATATAATTTCAGAGTGCAGTAATAGGACCAGACACTGTGTTCAGTCTGAATAAAACATACACAAACAAGAGAACTAAGTTCAAGATTACAGCAGCGTCTCAGAAGGAAAGTCCCCAGGTATGAATGCGTTTTATTAATGTAATGTTTTTTTTTTAAGGCTTTACTTTAATTGTGAATTACTTCGGAGAAAAATAACGATGTTCATTGTGCAATTAACAATTCCTGGAATTCATTTAGTTTTTAAGGGACTGAAAGACACTTTCACTTTGAATGCTATCTATTCTATATCATATCGTCAGGGCTATTCGATAGCGTATTAAAACTGTATTAACATTTTCAGATATCATGTTATGAATACCTCATATTCACAACTCTCGGTTTTAAGCCTTTAGCATGTTCTCTTCTAACATGAAAACTCACCAAAATGTTTCGAATTTTAATTATGGTCTGCCATTTCTACGGCCCCCCATTATGACATCACATATTACTTGTATTACCAGGGGCATTGTTCACGAATATAACCCGGGTGAAATGTTGACTTTGTTCACAGTTTATAGAAGGCAAGAATACAATCATGTTCGAATTCTTGATACAAACCCTATTACTGTTGTGTTCTAGGAGATGGAACAGACGCACAATGCTGCAGAGGAAGATAGAAAAATGTATATACAAGCTGCTATAGTTCGCATTATGAAATCCAGAAAAATATTGAAACACAACATGCTCATACAAGAGGTGAGTTATTTTTCCACTTTTTAAGTGCATGATTAAATGACAAATAATGAATGACCGAGAAACTATTTATTAAGTATCATAGATGTGAAATGAGTTTTCATATTCAGGACAAAGATATAACTCTGAAACAGCTTGATCTTTTAAATACATATTGATATACTGTATAACTGGTATTTAATCCAAGTGGCTAATTTGCTGAATGGTCAAATTTTACAATTTTCCTAAGTTTATGTAATTTACATATCATATATTTTCAGGTGATAAGTCAGTCAAAAGCCAGATTTGCACCGAACATCAGTATGATTAAGAAATGTATAGAGGCTCTTATAGACAAACAGTACATTGAAAGAACTAAAGAAGCAGATGAATATAGTTATGTAGCTTAGAATATATAAGTAGTCAGCCATGTTGGCTACCTCCTTATGGAAGAGCTCCTGTCCACCTCCACAATGAAGAGCTCGGAGTTAGTTACATCCAAGAGGAATTATCCCAGAATGTATCTCTGCGCTTCATAAGAAAAATGATCCAAACACAGTGGACATTAATTAGAATGCTGAGCAGTTAATTATGGGACATATGTACTCTGAGTCGATGCAGCATTGTGGTTTATAAGGATTCGGTACATCTGAATGTAGATCTAACCTCGATTAGATGTATGTGGCTGATTTGCAGTTTGATTCTATCAAATCTAGGAAAAATAGTTCTGTCAGTGAATGAAGCTAGCCAAGTCCAAGCATATGGTGGGAATTAAGTAATCTTATTTCCTAATTAATTCTCATCTAATTTTTAAAATTCACACATTATGTCATACTGACCTTCAAAGATATTTAGTATTTTATTCAATTCGGTGAAAAACATTTTTGATATTTCTACTTGTCTAACATAAGATAAAAATAAGGGATATTATAATTTAAAAAGACATTACCTCGAATTTAAAAAGGACAAGTCTTATACAGTAAGACTTGATTTTTGCTGACAAAAGATTTGGCCAATTTGAACTATATTCTATCGAAATATTTTTTGACTTTGGAATTGTTTACATTAAACAGCTGAAATAGTTAACTTAAAGCAAACTTAAACATTACTTGGATTTCTACCATATTACATTTCAGTCACTTATTGAGTTCTGACTGCATGATTTTTCATATAGAGAGAGAGATTATGGCGGAGGTAGAAATAGTTGTGTTACTGGTGGCCATGCAAGTGACATGAATTTCAAGAGAAGATTTTAAAATGGTATACTCTTGCTGCGAAATTTCCGAAATGATTATGTATCCTTTCGATATCTATGCAAAATCAGTCCATCCTATACTATCAGGAACTTAAACTTGGGTTAATTTGATGCTATTTAATTTTGATTCAACTTTTTATGTCACCACCAGAAGTGGTGACCTATTGTCATAGTCTAGCTTTTTTTGTGTTTGGTGGTGGTGTTCAGATCTGGCAGTTGGTGTTTGGTGTTCGGTATCTGTAACAAATGGTATGTGGTGACATTTTGCATGTTAATGCCTTGTATTTTCATTTCTAACAATGTTTCGTATTGACCACAGATACACATACTAGATTTTTGAACATTATTGATTTCTGGACTAGCTGTTATTGCATTTTAACAATAGACATAATCTTCTTAAGATACCTGGACATATATGAAATAAAGTGGTGCCAATTTAACTAAAAACTATCAAAAACAGTTTTACAATTCTATATAATTTGTTAAAGAGAGTACAAACTGTTTAAAAACTGAGATACAAAATGTATATTGAAATAAGAATGGGTCTAAAATTTGAAAACATGGTGACCAGAAACAAGAATGTTTTTATCTTGGCCTAGAAATTAGAATGATGAGGAAAGTAAATTGCCAAGACTTACTGTAAAAACCGGATTATCATATATGTATGATTATATTAAATCTTGCACCTATTGTTTGTTGCAAATAAAAATATGTTTTTTATAAGCCAAGATATCTATAATTATTATTAATTTTATTTTTGTTATGTTTTGTGTAAATGTTTTCTGTGGAGATAAACTACCCTGATAAAAGTTCAGTTTATATCTGGAATAATTCATTGTTTTATGTTCTGTCAATGAGTCTGCATTTTATGGTATTTCTGATGGTTTCAGAACTGTATTGTATATGCACTAATGGAAATGCATTACAGGGGGTATGTCTGTACTCTCACCTGTGTTTTGAGTTCATGTTGTGTGGTTAGAAAACAGTATACTTATGTAAGCTGTCAGTGAAATAACTCATTCATTGATGCAGGCGCCTGTACTATCAAAGTCTGACCATATTTCATTATTAGAAATACATTGGTGGCACATGATAATGAATGCCAAATGATAATTATCAATAGACAATTACCTTAGAGTTTCATATTCTCATCTTTTGTTCTATGTGCTTTTGAGTTTAACACTGGTGAAAAGATGGCATCTGTGTATTAATTCGTACTGAGAATATATCCTTTCTCCTCATGTACTAAGGCAAAGGCAATAAAATAAGATGTTTAGCTTCATTTTAAACTGCTGTAAATATATGTTTGGTCTGAAATATTTATGGAATTCCTAGGCTCATTGTCAGATGTTGGATAATACATGATTTAATACATGTTATACATATAATGAATAAAACAGTCATAACTCTCTGTGATTCTAGCATTTTTTATTATGTATTTTGACATGATTAGCCAAATTTTCTTCCCCATCCTATTACAAGCACAAGATAGATAAAGCTAAACATTTTATTTATTTTGCAGTTGCTTAATAATATTTCAAAATTTTTCTGAAATCCACTTGTCAGATTAGATGAGAAAAACAAATTTTGTAATTTTATGCAAATATATACAGTATTTCTCATTTTCAATGGAGATATAATGTGGTATTTATATATTGTTGATTTTTGTCCCAGTTACTAAGCATCGCCACACCTGAACTGATTTCGGGAATATATTTCATTCCCAAAAACTTTTTTCAAAATGCCTGTTTCATTCTTATGTAATGGGTATATTTGTGAAAAGTTTAAGTTTTTAATGTCTGTACCAAGATGTGTTGACATATGATTGTTATTGCAACTGATGGTTGTGAACCATGCTTGGAAATCTGGCATATCTGACTGTGTGTTCCTGTAGGAACTTTCTATTATAGAATTATTTTTCAGCTCAACCTCCAGTCATGTCAATTGTAAGCATGGTAGGGAACTTGTTCAAAACTATCATATTCATTTATCTTTGCAATTTGCAACATATGCCTATATAATATGCCAAAATAAGTATTTCAGAGTAAATTACAAACTACTACTTACAAACTATATTGAATTTCGGATTAAGGCCTTGAGAAAATAAAAATAGCCACCCATTTTGCATGAAAATTGTTATCTTTATAACATAGATGCATTTGTTATTTTTAAGTTGCGGAACAGACCATTGATGCCATATCTCATACTTACGTGTTCCTTGAAATTACATTAGTAATAGACAACTCTATAAATTAGCAAAGATGTGTTCCCTAATATTGTATTTGTTTAGTAAACAATCTAAATGATGAGTGGGTTTACATGTTCATGTTGAACTTTCTCTGAATCTCTTACGTTCAGGAGGTTGCTAATGAATAAATAAACTTCCAAAATATGGAACACATCAGACGCATTCTTGGGATTCATCTCTGTTTCTTATTCTATGGCTGTTACATTTTGAGAAAACCCATCCTTCTTGAAATGGAAAAACCTTCAAAATTTCTCCTAAAATATGCCCTATGTTAAAGAATCTTACAATAGCGCGGAGACAGGACATTTGCAATATATCTGTTGTCAGATGAAAAATGAGCTTATCACCCTGATTTAGTTTGAATTTAGACCTTGATCGAAATCAGTTCATTTTTCAAACACAAAGTTATGACATGTATGATGTTCCATCAAATTGCCGATTGTTACTGTATTCAACATGAGATTCAGTCTTGGAAATTTTTAAAAGGAATGGAATTTCATTGTTAAATTTAAAATTGCAGTGTTAGATGATTTTTTAGGATTTAGGTAGACCCTTTTTCACAAATCACAATTCCGTATTAGATAATAAAAAAAGATAAAATCTCTTCATCATGCATTGCAATGTTGAAATGAATAAAATCATAAGATGAAATCTCTCAACAAACCACTGTTTAATAATAAATACACTTTGAAGTTTCTCCTTGTTTATATGCTCTACAATCAAACAAACATGTTTGAGAAAATGAAGTATTTCTGTTTAATGTTTGATTTTAGATAAAAAATCCTTCCTGTGAATGTTCATTTATTTGTCAGTAAATAAAATACTTTCAATCTTTAAGAATCCATTGTATTTCATGTGTGCTCCCAATTAAGGTTTTATTGAAATCGGATTTAATAAAAATAATCTTGAGAGTGGCACAATATTAACCTTAGTAGCCTTTTGTGTTGGTATTTTCCTAATAAACTACTGGGTTTACTTGAATGCTCATATTTTGCTTGATAAACATTTGAAACAGGAATTTGAGAGATGAAAGAATGTGAGATTTGTTTTGAATTTCCTGGCCTTTATAAGCACATGTGCAAATTGCAAGTGACCAAAGTATTAAAATGTGCAAATTGCAAGTGACCAAAGTATTAAAAGCATCCTAAACTTAAATGAAATGAAAGAAATTCTGTGATCAGGGGTCCAATACAGCTAAAATAAAATGAAAATACTTTCCAAAAATGGCCCCAATGATAACTTATTTCTCAAAATTCTATTTCATTTTTAGAATTAAAAATTTATTCAAATAAGGCATAGAATAAAAGTTCAATTGCTTGTGGATAAATTAGTTATTTATAAACTATTCATAAAATCACAATTGACAACTATCGTATTCTTTAACGGGAGGGGGCATTAGTCAGAGAGACTTCGCTCTCAGTGGGAACATATGACGAAAACCTGCTTATCAACTAGAACAGTAGAAATTGAACAGGTAAGACATTTTGCTCAACAGACCCATGTATAAGAAGGTTTAACATTTCTGACCTCTGGCAAGAACATTTTGCACAACTGACCCCTCCACCCCATACTAATACACACTTAGATATTTTACTGCTGACTTTTATAACTTTGAACTTTACTTTTTGACAATAATGTGCTGGTGAAATGTTTGCATCAATGTAATATAAACCATTTCTGAAGAAGTACTGTTTACCTTTATAACAAATAACAATAACAATTTAAGTTTTATTTCAGGTAATAGAGGACAAAGTAGAATTCAAAAGAAGAAAAGCTGCCTATATGCTGAAAATGCCATGGATCAAATTTTACTGCACCTTTGTGAAAAAATCAATTTATCGGGTATGTTATTTTAAATATTAATTTAAATTACAACTCAAATTTCAGAGGGTTATTTTAGAGCTGATGGCTGTCAAATTCACAATAGACATGATAGACCAATTTTAACAATTTACTGGTCAATTTGTTTCATTGGATATAACATGAACAAATGCTTGTTTGAAATCAATGAAGCTTTCTGTGGTTGGACAAAGACCACATCACATGGGTCCATTATGAGAAATCATGGCCTTCTATTGGCTTCTCTCTATTTCTCGTTGGAGGCAGAAAGATGTGATGAGTAATAGAATGACATAGGTCATATTCCCGTCTTTGGTACTGATAGATTTCGAGGAACAATAATCAGTAATGAAATGGTGATTTTACTGAAATCTCAGTAAGACCCCAATTATGTATAGATATATCAATTTAATACCATATTAGGAAGAATGATTGTAAAATTGTGAAATGGATCATCTGAGATCTTGAGGGATTTTGGGGATTTATAATTGACATATAATTTGTTGTTAAGACATTTAACAATGCATTACCCTGATTCTTCTTCAGCTGGCCAGAATAACCACACTGTCAGCTACATGTACAAATTAATTTTTGATATGATAAGTCTTAATGATCTCTAATGTATCTTAAATGAAGATTTAAATTTAACTACAACACTTCCATTTTTCCTTGAATTTTGAAAATACTAAAATGCCTTGTGCTTTATTTTGGCAATTGATTCCAGAATATAGTGTTATGTCTTTAGGGGGTATGTTTTTAAATCATCTCTTCTGTCAGATCTGACCTTTATGGCTCTCTTATTTATTTACTTGATCGATCAATTCAGATGAGCAATAAGAATTCCAGATATTGAGGAATTGGATGCAATTTGTTAGGGAGTGCATTGATGTATGGCCCATTTGATGCTGGGGGTAGGGGTCTAATTGCTTAACTCTGAATCAAATTTCTCCTGTGAACGCCTAATGTCTTTTAAACAATTTTTACGATAACTTAACAATACAAGAACAATCGGACAAAGAAAGTTTTCTTATCCAAAATGATCAATCTTGTGATTGTTGCCTGAAAGAAGTAAGGGGTCCCAAAATCAAATGTTCCATCCTTTTTATCCCAAAGGAATCTATTATTGGCTTACCTTTTATCTTATTTTGTGCTGTAACTTATTGTTAAAGGAACAATTTAAGGATCAATTGGGTTATGACAAATCTGCTCAAATCCAAGATGATTGCTTTATTCTAAAGTGACAGCTATTTAGAGGGTGAAAGTTAATTTGCTGTACCATTCAGGGCACTGCCACTTGTTTGATAGGTCAATTTTGATCATGTGGTACAAGCAAAGTGAGATGGGACTCAACCTCCTCTGTATTATTTTAGTAGGACTTTCACTTCATTCAGTGCAGTGTCCAAATACAGAATAGAATGCCTGGCAGGGAAGGGAATGACAATTGAATACACAGGAAAGAAGGTTGTAGATATACGGTTATTGAAAAATAATCAAGATTCTAGAGTGTCTTTATTGAGTTTTACTGATTGGTTTATTACCATTTTTGTGTTCTAGACTATGAATAGATAATAGAGGGACCGCATAAAAGGGATTCAAGCAACAGACAGTAAAACTAATCTTTGAATATAAAGAGATCGTATTAGTTGCAGAAGAAAGGGACATTGGTAAGTAATATTCCTATCATTGCAAGATTATTGTATATTTCTAATGTTATTACATTGTATATATAAATCTTAGACTCACATTCTATATATGCCTTGGTATTACATTGAGCAGAAAATGTGATTTTGTGAGCCAAAAATTGTTGATGATTTCTAGTAGACTTTTATTGAATTTAAGAGTTGAGTTTATGTGTAATCCATTTCGAAATCTTTGTTTTTAACAGTTTAGCAGGGAGTCATGCCTTATCTCTGGTCTCTGTAATCAAGTTATCTGAACTTAAATACAATTGTATACAATACTTGTAAACATTATCTTAAGCATTAACACCTCTATAGATTAAAATACAATTTAATACTGCTTTATCAAGAACTTTCTGATAATGCTTTTCGGGCAATTGTTCTCCAAGGAAAGCATTCAGTAATTTTCTGTTGATATGTTACTATCTTCAGATTCCCATTTAAAGAATGTTTATGAGATTTGAAATAAATATTGTTTACTTTTACTTAACTTAAACCTTGGCTACTGTAAGTTAAATACCTATTGAAGTTTTAGAAATGTTTTGAAGAGTTCTAAAGCATTAAATAATCTTATGTACACAAAAATGAAATAGTTTCCCATCGATATTAAACATGATAATTATTTGTGTTTTTTCAATATACTCGAAAATTATTGAGAACACTTTTTTGAGAGGCTAATGATGTTTTATAGCTCCTGCTTGACAATGTAATCAATCTTGCTGTTAGCGGATACTTCAGATTTTGAACTATAAAAAATTCATTAGACCAAAGATATAATTTATGTCACATAAACCTTACTCTTTATCTTAAACAAGTCAAAATGTCAATTTTTATTTTGATCATTATATCTTGATAATGTTCTTGATTGCAGTGCTAGCTGGGTAGGTGTGGAGGACGGTTTAATCCTACAGCATTCTGAGGAGCATACTCTTCAATCCCAGTATACTTAGCACCAAAGCAGCTGACTTCTTAGAGTTCATTGGTTGATATTGTTGCCACATGATGTATAGGGCTCATGGAACATTGGTTATTTTGAGAAATCTGTAGAAGTCTAGCCTGGAGGATGGTTAGCTAGTCCATCAAACCTCAGTAAGTACTCTTTATATTTTATTTATCCATTCCAAAAAATCATATTTATGTCTTAATAAATAATATGAAAAAGCATGCCTATAATTTGTAACATTCAGCATTAACAGAAAATATTCAGGAGTTGATCACAAAATAAAATTTTCATTTTTTTACCAGGAAATGAGAAATCTTGATATCATGGTAATTTTCAGAAAGGGTTTCTATTGAAAGTTGGTCATTGATGAGCTATAGTTAGCAGGTCTTCAACTGATTTAGCATGTTCACAAGGTGGTGATTAGAGTGATTTTGAAAAGCAAAATAAAATTACTATCTGATTTGAAAAAAAGCAATCTTTAGAATATAATTATGATTTCTTTCCTTCGGGGAAATTTCACACAAATGTTGATGCTCATGAGCAGGGCCTCTGTTGATAACAGTCAATTATTTTTAAATCTGAAAACTTGGCGATTTCAAGTTTTACTAACAACCAGTGAAATGTTTTTACACTTATTCATCATAAAACATTGTCAAATATTAGAAGTGGTACATTTTTAAAACATGTTAACGAGTTCCATTGAATATAAGTTTTACAGTATGAAGTGCTAATTGTCAAAATGCTATATGCAGTGATCATATCAAATTGAAACTAGAGTATTTTCATCAGAACAATGATTCCATCTTCAGAAATCCTGAGTATAGTTTATTGTAATAAAATGACATGGATATTTTGGATAACTCTAAAAATAAAGTAGGTTTTTTTCATTGGTAAAATTAATATAACTTAAAGGTGGCCAGCTGTATCTCAAGGCATCTGTTTTTTGCTTGTCATTTTTTGAAGAATATTCAAGTGTTGATTTTTTAGATACGAGATAACTTGGACATGATATATATAATTAAGGGTACACAAACATACCTAATTAGATAAGGTGAAATCAGGATAGATTCAGGATCTACATATGTATGCATCTAATAAGTTCTTCACAATACTTGGGGCAGTGCATGGTGTGACTCCTCAAATCATTTTACATGCGGCAGTTGATGTGCTAGATTCTCCCTTAAGGTAGATGCTGTAAAAGTACAAATTAACTTTGTTTTTTTAATTTCGCTATTTTCGCTGAACATATTTTTTGTGTAATTTAAAACATAGTGAAATATTACATAAATGGAAGGAATTAATTCTTCAGTGAAATGAATTCCTGGTCTTATTCTGAAAATTTCATTCAGTGAAATCTAGCATCCGTGAAATTCAAGGTGTTTACAGTAATATCTTAACTCATCATCAACAACAACAACACAATTTCAATTTCTCATAGCTATTGATTCACACAGTATCAAATATCTAAATCAAACATACATGTTGTTTATTATTTATTGTGTTGTATTTTTTTTGTTTTGAAAACACAAGCCTCTGGCATCCAACCACAGTGACACTTGTACAGGTTAAAGCTCTGTTTTGTTTTATTTTGAAACACAATTAAGTGACAGAAATATTAAACAGAGGTCCTTTACTCCATTCGGCCACCCAGACTTTACTTCCTTTATGTAATAAAATATATTTGTTTAGTAACTTGAATGAAAGTGATTCGTTGTGAGAATGTCCCTTTAACAATCATTGAACATTTTTGTGAATGAATAAGTCAAGTATGAACGCAATTGAGACGTACTTGTAAGTCTAATCAAATCTGAATTGATCACAATGGGTAAGTTTATTCCTGCCGTGTATCTTAACAAATGAAAACAGGTGTGTGAAATTGTGAATCTGAATGAAAACCAACCCTTGTTTGAATGAGTTTTAAAAAATACAGCTTTTTCAGATTGAACAATATAATATTGAGAAATAAGAAAAAGTACACTTACAGTCAGTAAAAAATACATAAGTGTCTGAATAAATACAGATTATTGTGCATATGATAGAAAATATAACTCTCCACGCTACATTGAAGTGCATTGATCCACATAATACAGGAAATACTTGACACGTCAGTATTGAAAATGCATTCAGTTCCCGAGTCCTCTTTCCCAACCACTCAAAGTAAAACTGTAAAATTGTAACTTAGTAAAAGTCCACCTGATACATGTAATCAACTAGTTTATGAAATGGAGCATAGTATATTTAGTTTTATAATCATAAGAATAAAAAGTGTCGAGAAACAGTTGCCAAAACAGGTGAATGAACCAATGAGCCATTGGAACTATGCATCCAAACATTTCAAGACTTTTTGGAGAGCCCTCGTAAATGCATTTATGAATCTATGCATTTGACTACATTAGTATAATAATGCATTTATGAATTTATGCATTTGACTACATTAGTATAATAATGCATTTATGAATCTGCATTTGACTACATTAGTAGAATAATGCATTTATGAATCTATGCATTTAAATACATTAGTATAATAATGCATTTATGAATCTATGCATTTGACTACATTAGTAGAATAATGCATTTATGAATCTATGCATTTGACTACATTAGTATAATAATGCATTTATGAATCTATGCATTTGACTACATTAGTATAATAATGCATTTATGAATCCATGCATTTGACTACATTAGTAAAATAATGCATTTATGAATCTATGCATTTGACTACATTTGTAGAATAATGCATTTATGAATCTATGCATTTGACTACATTAGTATAATAATGCATTTATGAATCTATGCAGTTGACTACATTAGTAGAATAATGCATTTATGAATCTATGCATTTGACTACATTAGTATAATAATGCATTTATGAATCTATGCATTTGACTACATTAGTAGAATAATGCATTTATGAATCTATGCATTTGACTACATTAGTAGAATAATGCATTTATGAATCTATGCATTTGACTACATTAGTATAATAATGCATTTATGAATCTATGCATTTGACTACATTTGTAGAATAATGCATTTATGAATCTATGCATTTGACTACATTAGTATAATAATGCATTTATGAATCTATGCATTTGACTACATTAGTAGAATAATGCATTTATGAATCTATGCATTTGACTACATTAGTAGAATAATGCATTTATGAATCTATGCATTTGACTACATTAGTATAATAATGCATTTATGAATCTATGCATTTGACTACATTTGTAGAATAATGCATTTATGAATCTATGCATTTGACTACATTAGTTTAATAATGCATTTATGAATCTATGCAGTTGACTACATTAGTAGAATAATGCATTTATGAATCTATGCATTTGACTACATTAGTAGAATAATGCATTTGTGAAGCTATGCATTTGGAGAAACAAATAATGTGAAAAATATATATAATGGGTGGCAAGAAAGAAACAATATCGGTATTTTTCTACAAATAATATCCCAAGCACCCAGTACACAAATGTTTGAATGGGTAGTGAAAAATCTAAATAAATCAGTGTTTTTACAACAGGTGTCAGTGAGATGTAATTTCCTTGATACACATCCTATTGAACATAGTTCTTAGTTTTATTTTATCATAACAGAGTTGTTTAATTTATAAACATATCACAAGGCATAAGGTTAATGATAGCATTAGTCTACCTGAGAGTTGAGTTTGCAGGATAAACAATTCCAAATTGCCGAATCTCCAAATTGTCTTTGGCAAATCCACATGCAATGCACTTAGTACAAAGATATTGTACTTAAACTTATGATTTTAGTTTTGATGCCGATAACATTTCAATGTCATGATCTCAAAAATACTTATGAAGACTTGTGGACCTGTGTGTGGGTAGCTGTTATTGATCCAATCTGAGTGGACAATCGCAGGCCTGTCAACTGTCCCGCAATTTGCGTATTTGTCACGCATTTGCTGAAGAAATTGAAGTCACGCCAGTTATTTTTGCGTGACAGAAAATGTCACGCAAATACGCATTTTACCTGGTACTTTCCAAGCAAAAATATTTCTGTAGAAAAATTTCTAAAAAAGATCGTCTACACAGCAAAAATACGAACGCCGAAAAAATCGTACGCATTTCGTTTGGACTTTTCACGCGAATTACGTATATGTCACGCATTCCGTTCGAAATTTTTCGTACGTCCCCCCCCCCCTGTTGTTGGATGTTTTAAACGCGAGCGTAGCGAGCGCGAAAAATTTGAGGTGTTCAAAATTTGGCAGGATGTAATAAAATTTAAACCAAGGTGTTCAAAATTTGGATCAAGGTGTTCAGATTTGGACCAAGGTGTCCACATTTTGAGGGGAGGTGTTCAACATTTCCAAGTCACTCATGTTAGGTGTTCCCAAGTTGACAGGCCTGCAATCGGGATCAAAGGATTATCTCTTCTACAGTGCAGATGAAGCTCTCTTTCTAAAGATGCTGTCTTGAAAATGATAGTGATAGGGCATTTGAGAGATCTCGGCCTTCTCACTGCATCAGGAGCATTCTTGGCAGCGCAGAGATGGTCTGAGTATCAGGGGCGAGTGTCTTAATTAGTGTGATATTCAGAAGGGTGTTGAAAGATGTAGCTACTGGGATGGGGAGATGTGAGACATTCTCAATCCTCTAATAGACTTATTGACTTTACATCCTATATACTTTGTTGTGTGTATTACCCTTGGCAAGAGATCAACCAGATCTGCACTCTGAAATTATATACAGAAATCAAACAGCATTAAAATGTCTGGACATTTAATCATAGCATATCTTTTATTTAGCCTTTATCCAATATGTCATCAGATATGCCTATTTTCTGAAAATACTGTAAATACCTAGAATAAGTTCATGTTTAAGAATGGGCCATTAATGTTTCAATGAGGTGATTAAGATATTATCAGTTTCAAAATTGTATTTATGCACTAACTAAGTTATTCTATTTAACCGAAATACAGGCATTAAGCTTTGATACTAAACACGTGTGCGAGCCTTGGGAGCCTCTCAAGCGTGAAAACACCCTTACCTGGTGTTAAACCTAAAATTACAGCTAATATCCTGAATCGGTTAAAGGTGGGGTCTGAATACCCGCCCCACCTGCGATACCTAAAGGTGCCCGTCCGGGTACCTGAGACCTGAAAAAAGGTAAAAAGAGGGAGGAAGAATAGGGGAGGAGGAGGGAAAATAAAATCACTCTTACCTCTAAATTTATGCTGAAAAGCGATGAAAATAATGGAAAACTTGCTTCTAATAAATCAGTCAGGATCAAGCAGAAGAATGGCGGAAAATCTGAGGTGACGCTATCTGTGATTGGTTGAAGCTGGTCACGTGACTTCTTACGTATGCAACACCTCGTAATCTTATTGGAGGAGGATGATGTCATCCTAACTTGGGAAAGCTGAACAAGGTGGAAGCACAAGAGGTAACTCCCCAGAAACACACACAAGAGAGACTCCCTTAGCTGTTCATAAATACAATTATTTTGCTCATAATTGTGGTTTTATGCACTAACTAAGTTATTCTATTTAACCGAAATACAGGCATTAAGCTTTGATACTAAACACGTGTGCGAGCCTTGGGAGCCTCTCAAGCGTGAAAACACCCTTACCTGGTGTTAAACCTAAAATTACAGCTAATATCCTGAATCGGTTAAAGGTGGGGTCTGAATACCCGCCACAACAAAGAACTGTACTTATCCCAATTTTTCAACCCGCCAGTTACTTTGTGGCCCCACCAACTTAGTAAGTGTAAAACAAATAAATCAAGAAAATTTGAGTTTCTAAAATGTATTCGTACGTAAAGAATAACAACTACAACAAGTCAATCCCATGTAAATATCTTAATTTTCAGAAGACTTTATAAATTGACATAAACATTTTCTTGAGACTGATGAAATGACTAAATATAGTAATAATTGACTATCCTTATTATATAAAGAATAGAGTGACCAGTTGTGGTTCAAATACAAAATAAACCCCACTACGTATAAAAAGTCCTGTTGTATAACAGTCTCTGAGCTAACAATATATATGAAGTTTGATAATAAAATATACTATCACAATGATTGGTGCCTCAGCATAAAATGAGCTGTCTGGCTTACATCTAATATTGCTTGAAAGTGTAACCTAGTTATTAGCGTATATACAGTTTGAAAGTGTCCGACTTCCACCTCCCTAAATCCCTTATTTGTGAGTCTGATAATCCCCTTGCTGCCGCGTATGTGGCACCCCCTATACGGAAACTATGACTTTTGAATCGAGTGGGATCAAAATTACCAGCACGTAGCACGAAGTTGAGGTGGTCAGTAAAGTGTGACCTTTTTACTGGAGATCCATTCTCAAGTAAAAAGAGTTGATTGTGACCCATACCTTGTCGGACCTTTAGATAAGATTCTAAGTGTTGAACTGGACATACATCGGATTGTTGCGGGTTTAAAGCTATTTTGTGAATTTTGTTAGGCTTCGCATGTTTGAAAGAGTCGAGTATGACATGATATGTATTTTGAGATCTAGAAACATTTTGTATGGATATTGCATGATTTGATTTATAAGCCCAAGTGATTTCACTAACCCTCAAAAGACCGAAAAAAGCAGTAGTAAACATAGCATTGAAAAGTTTCAGGTGAAAGTCAGACAAATTCATTGAAGAGTTGATGCTTATCAGCTTTTGTAAAATTGATAAGGAGATCGGAAGGCGAGAATCACAAGATGGGTTAAGTTTTCCTAATCCAATTAAAGTTTGCCTTACCAAATAAGTATTGGTTGGGTCCATATACCCTCCTAACTTAAAATGGTAGCTCAAAGCTGAGATGAAAGTTCTTATAGATGATGGTTTGTAAGATTTGGCTAAATATTGACAAAATAGAGCGACTGTAGTTGGGTCACATGTATCCAAATGAAATCCCGTATCATATTGGAAAGTGTTCCACAATTCCAACACCCTCGCATAAGTTTGCTTCGTACTTGGAGCCAAAGCTGCGTCAATTGTTTTGTTTAGCTCTGCAGCCAGTTGCTGAGTGTCCAGCTCTTGGGCAGGACCACGGGTGCACTCTCTGCCTCTGGTGCCGCCTTTCTGAAACCCTGTAAATTGAATCGAGAAAGGTGGTCAGCTGCAATGTTCAATTTCCCCGGGATGTGTTCACAACGAAAAGAAATGTTATTTTGTAGTGCACATAAAGTGAACTTTCTTAACAGAACCATAATATCCTTGTCCTTCGATGAAGATTTGTTAATAATGTAGGAAATAGCCTCATTGTCACAGAAAATAGTAATATTTTTGTTTTTCAATTGATCAGCCCAAAGGTGAAAAGCAACTACTATGGGGAAGAGTTCAAGCAATGCTATATTTAAATTGGATTCTTGTTCATCCCATGAGCCATTGAACCATTGGTTGTCAAATATGGCCCCGAATCCCAAAGTCCCTGATGCATCCGAGAATAACGATATCCCATCATCCTGTTCCCATGAGTTATGAAAAAACCCTTTGCCATTAAAGTTATCAAGAAAGACCTTCCACGTCAATAAGTCCGCTCTAGCTTCGCAATTCAAGCGAATTTTAAACTGAGGCCGAGAAACCCCGATTGTTAAATTGATGAGACGACGCAAAAAGGCTCTACCCGCCGGAATGACATAACAACAAAAATTTAGTAGGCCGATGATACTTTGAAGATCTCTCAGCGAAACTTTTTTGCATCTATACAGTTGATCAATCAAATGTTTTGCCTTGTCCAGTTTATCAATTGGTAACCTAGCTTCCTGTTGAATTGAATCCAATTCAATTCCCGCAAATGACATGACAGTATCTGGGCCTAGTGTTTTTTCCTTCGATATGGGGACACCAATTGTTTCGCACAAACTTACAAAACTGTTCAGATCCTCCTCACATTTGTCCTTGTCAATATTTACTATAAAGAAATCGTCCAAGATATGAACCACTTTAGGAATATTCAACACGTATTTTGCAGTCCATTCCAGAGCCGTACTTAAGGTCTCAAAAAGTTGGCATGAATGTCTCAGTCCCATAGGAAGTCTTGTGTCAAAGTAAAACTTGTTTTCTAAAGACATCCCTAACAAAAAGTGAAAGTCCTTGTGAATTGGGACAATTCTGAATGCACTTTCTATGTCTGTCTTACTCATGAAGGCTGACGGACCTGCATCCCGAACTAGCTCGATAGCTTCATCAACTGAACCATATTTGACTGTTGCATATTTTTCGTCAATACCGTCATTTACCGAAAAACCTTCTGGGTGAGACAGATGATGAATGAAGCGAAACTTTCCCACCGTTTTCTTCGGAACTACCCCTATGGGGGAAATTACCAAGTTCTTAAAGGGTGGGCTTGTGAAAGGACCTGCAATGTGACCAAGATCGATTTCGGATTGTAATTTGTTATGAAGAGCTTCAGGGTTGTCTTTTGGGATTGCTAGATTTTTACTTGAAGAACAAGGGAGATCCCCAAAGTAGGGAATGGCAAAACCGTTGGAGAAACCTTCAAATAGGAATTTACGAATGTCTGTATCGTAGCCTTCAAGAATATCGAAAAGGACTAAAGGATTCACTGGAGTGTCTTGTACAAAACAGTCGGGATAAGGCGAAATTTTATTTTCGTCGATAAAAGTTTTTATTGGATTTGATGTCATGTCAATTTCGTTTGAAAGGCTGGGTCTTGTTTTTCCTTTTGTTGTCAAACTTGCTACGATTTCCCCATCCATTTTCCTCTTTCTTATTGTTGCAATCTGTAACCCTGTGGTCGCCCTTGCAGCTTGAGCAAATGTGGGATCTTGGGCATGTAGAGTGAGGACAGAACTTCCCTGAATTCCATTGATTGCAAATGGCACGAAAAGAATTGTTCTTTCCATTCTGACCTTTGCCATTGGGTTTCCACTTCCCTTGAACTTGTCTAGGCACTCTGTGTACCCATGTCGCCTCAAGCATGAAATCGTTATACCATGTATGCCATTGAAGTCCATGTTTCTTATTCTCCCTGAATCTTTCGTCATAGTATCTCCAGTTGCTCTCGGGATTATTAGAGAGCTCCCTAATCTTGTCACCATATTTAATCAAGTTTGCGGCCTCGTGACTATGTTGTCTTATGTAAGTTGTACAGAAGATATTGAAGGCCTGTTGCCATTCTTTATAAGAGAGATCTTGATCATCTTTCTCTGGCGCTATGATGAGCATAGACTCGCCGTCATCTTGTTGTTTCTGTTCGAATTGAAAAGCTGGCTTCTTTTTCTTTTTCTTGACTGAGGCTGGCAATAAGGTTTTGAAATCTATATATTCTTCACTAATGATCTTTTGTTTAGTTGCCTCATTAAGGTGAGAATCTAATGGTGCAGACCATGAGAACTGGGAAGGATTACCCATACCTGTCAGAATGCGTGGTCCAATCGGGATGCCATTGTATAGTGTGTTCTGAAGACCTGTGGCTCCTGAATTAGGGACCTGAACTAAAGTACCCTGAGTTGAACCATTTGTATTGAGCTGGTTGATCGGGAAATGTCCCCTTTGCGTATTAACGGGACCAATGCCAGGTTGTATGAACTGGTTGTGAGACATCTGCGGGATAGGGTTTGCCTGAGGGCCCATGTACCCTAATTGGCTCTGTTGTACTGGCATCCCTTGATAAACCCCCCCGTTATTAGGGATATTGTGGGTTCCAGATGACATGTGATGGTTGTTATTAACTGGCGTTCCATTGTTGTAAGCTGTTTGCGACTGAGATGGCATTGACTGTAATGTGTTGTTAGGGCCCATGTTCCCTGATATAACATTCTGAGAAGGATGTTTATTCTGGCTGGCATTTTGAGTAACATTGGTATTGCTTGCTTGACTTAGCAACCTATCGATTTGATACTCAAACTGGTTTTGTCCTTTTTGGCTTTGTACCTCCGGGTTAAGAGGGTAATTCTGTTGAAAACCCATATTTGGAGTTTGAATGATCTCTTGAGAGATAGTTGAAGTTGCTTGATTCATCATAGGAGGGCCCATGTACCCCGATTGAATGTTATGTCGGTTGGAATCACTGTTTAGCTGTCCCGAAACAGCTGTCGGAGCGGTTTGTAGATTATTTGGCAAAGGGCCCATGTACCCCAATGTACCATTTTGTTGATTTACTGCACCTGTTTGTGAATCCCCTTCATTACTACTATTCTGAGGGCCCATGTTCCCTGATAAACCAGATTGTTGACTATGGTTTGTATTATTCGGCCAACTGGGCCGAGTGTCATTAGAAAGACCTGCCGCATTAAGTGGTGACCTCGAAACTATTGTATTTGCATCAAGGTTTAGAAGATTAGTATAGCTACCTGTCACACCTTGGTTGTCGATCATTGCCAGTGCTTCTCTGATAGGAGGTATTCCCGGTGGGCCTCCTCCTGAAGCCATGCTGAGTCAGTACTAAAACGAAAAACAATTACAAAATGACTCCCAATTAGCAGAGATTAAAGCCCTGCCAGCTTGTTATACTCACCCTTTTCGTTTTAATACTGACAATATGCTATATGTAAAGTGCCATAACAACATATATATTACAAATGCAGATAATGAATACTGGCCATAGAATGTAAATGCCATTTAAAAGTAAAAGAATAAAGATATATAGGTCTATTTATGGAATGTAATTGATGTATCGAATGTTGTATGGTAAATATAGAAGTGATCCTCACTAATATTAAATGTGAGTGAAAAACAACTAATAGACTTTTAATTTGCCGTCGGGCATTTAAATAGGACAACTTTTGAATAGAAAAAGTTAAAGATGACTGTATATGAAGGGCACAGCCATAACATGAACGTCAGCATAAGTACATTAAAGGGCAAAGCCATAGATAACTGCATATGATGGGCAAAGCCAAAGAATCATACCTCACTACATAAGTATGTGCATGAATGGACAAATCCATGAGATTAAACATTGTTTTAATGACCAGGGCAGGCCAAGCCACAGGTAAATGCATATTAAGGGCAAAGCTATAGAATTGTACCTCTGTATTAGTACATGAATGGACAAAGCCATAGGATTCAACATTGACTTGATGACCAGAGCAGGCAAAGTCATAGGTAAATGCATATGAAGGGCAAAGCCATAGAATTGTACATCGATATTATTACATGAATGGACAAAGCCATAGGATTCGACATTGTCTTGATGACCAGAGCAGGCAAAGCCATAGGTAAATGCATATTAAGGGCAAAGCCATAGAATTGTACATCGATATTAGTACATGAATGGACAAAGCCATAGGATTGAAAATTGTCTTAGTGGCGAGAGCAGACAAAAACATAGGTAAATTCATATTAAAGGGCAAAGCCATAGAATTATAAAAGCATTAAAAGACAAAGCCCAAGATTCAATTTGTTTAATGACAAAGCAGGCAAAGCTATAGATAATTGTAAATGCCATACCAAGCCATAGCAATATATGTTAATATTAGTACATAAATGGGCCAAGCTGAAAATAATGATATATCAGATTCATGTTGAAAAACCCTCATAATAAAAATGCCATCAAATATATGAATGTGCAGAAAAATATTAAAGCAAGTCAGTTCGAGTTGATAAATAGACAAAGCCATCGAAGTGCCGAATAAAATGAGGAGACAAAGCTTTTGATAATACTCAAAATTGCTTGTAATTGACATGCCATAAAGGTATAGAACATTGACTCAAATGTAACCAGCACAAATGCCTCTAAAATAAAAATACCCAAACTAAAATGACACGAACCAAAAAAAACTACGAGAACACAGATTCTATCATTGTGTAAAGCATAGTCAATTCCTGTTAACAAATGAGCATCTTGATGATTATCTATGCAACTAATGTTAATAATATATAAGAAACTGTTATAATGTGATTACAGCTAAAAACAACTCATGCATAATTGTTATTGAGCCTAAGTGTTAGCTAACATAAGAAAAAGCAAGATCTTAACAATGTTATAGTTATCTACACTTACATTTCTTCCCTTGAATGACAGCCCCTCTGAGTGAAGAGCTGAATTTTTGTAGTCCCCATGAAGACAGGTGAGTACCATCGTGCCCAACCATTTCTTTCCAGTTCTCCTTCATACCCTGATGTTTCCATACTAAGACATAATCGAAGTCAGCATAAAAAGTTCTAAGCATCGTGTTGAACTTTTTTATTTTCTTGTTGTACACCTCACAGTCTTCTTGACAAGTAAACCTACAGTTCTTGTCATTTGAAAAATCTCTGTAAAACAGTTCACCAATCACCACTTTACAGTCCCTGTTCGCCCTGCGGACTATGCTCACAAGGTCATGAAGTCCTTGAAGTGCATATATCACATCGTATTGGTTGTTGTGATGAGAGAGATCATTCTCTCCAATTTGAAGGACAACTACATCATATGGTTTCCAAACCTCTGAACTGAGCACACTGAGATTCTTGGGGGATTTGTTGTCAACCTTGGCACCACCATGACCTACGTCATAAACATAATCTGTGTCTCGCAAGTCCAGATCCTGATGCTGAGATTCTGACAATCTTGAGATAAAGCTGTGACCTGTCAACAATACAGATGGTCTAGCCATGATGACGATTCTCAAACCAACCTATAAGAAAATGTATGAAAGAATGGGCTAACTACATGACTAGCTAAAAAAAAAAATTTGATCCTTACAATAAATTGCATGCATTGAATTAGGCTAAACTATGAATGTACTTGTTAGCTATCTTAAAATCATGCTGTAAGGCTAGAAATGAACCTTGTAGGTCTAAAACAAACAAGGTATAATATTACGATGAAGTGGAGTTACTAAACATATAACCCGATGACTTCGACTGTATTATTCAACGTTCTTTGTTTACCGCCAAAACACATAAATATATTATCGCCCACTTACGATGTCTGAAAATCTGCCTCAAACTTGACAGATCTAACAAATGGGGACTATTAAACGGGTTCCATACTTGCCACGACCCTTCATGTGAACTTAGAAATAGCCTCAAGTAATATGAAATCCCATAAATCAAGGAACTTAGAAAAATTCAGCAAGATTCAACATCGCTAAAATCATCGTGTCCAGCACAAAGGAATTCGATCCTTTCACAGGTAATAAATGACTAAGTAAGACGTCTTGTGTGAAAATAATCACACAAAAAACACCTGTGATAATAAACACAAAAATAAAATCACTCTTACCTCTAAATTTATGCTGAAAAGCGATGAAAATAATGGAAAACTTGCTTCTAATAAATCAGTCAGGATCAAGCAGAAGAATGGCGGAAAATCTGAGGTGACGCTATCTGTGATTGGTTGAAGCTGGTCACGTGACTTCTTACGTATGCAACACCTCGTAATCTTATTGGAGGAGGATGATGTCATCCTAACTTGGGAAAGCTGAACAAGGTGGAAGCACAAGAGGTAACTCCCCAGAAACACACACAAGAGAGACTCCCTTAGCTGTTCATAAATACAATTATTTTGCTCATAATTGTGGTTAAATATGTGAAATTGTTCCAAAATACTTTTAACTATCACATTATTTTACCCCTTGTTATTAAATATTTTCTCCACTCATTGAATCTAGAATGGGGAAATTTAGGAATGATATTTGGAGGTTTTAAGATCAAAAACACCACAATTGATTCATATTTTTGATGAAAATACCATTAACGTTCCATGGATTTATAGAAGGCTAACATTATTTGCTTTACTATGTAATGGGTGGGGGCTAGAATGTACTACACTTGTATCACTATTTAATGGGTGGGGGACTAACAACAGTAAACCTAATATTTATGGAAGAAATTAACTCAAGTATTTGCCCATTTGTAATGGATAATTAAAACATGTGTAAGCCTTTATACTCAGAAAGTCAAGAGAATCTGGCATTTGAGAAATTCCTTCCAGCTGACAACAGGTAAAGAAATCATTTTATATTTACTCTTGTGATATGATAGTCTTGCACTGTTCATATTTGGACTGTTGCATATTCCGAAAAATTTTGTCAAATGACTCAGAAAAACCATTGCCTCACTAATAAAGTTTTACCTCACTTTCTTTGCCTCAAAGTTAAGAATTTTAGTGCCTCAAAGTACAAATACTTTTTACCTCATAGATGAAAACTATCATATATGCTCACTGATGACCCTTCTTTGCCTCAAACCCCCCTCCCTGAACCAGGAAAATCTTGATTACACCACTGAGAAATTGTATCCTGGTCTGTTTATCATAACTCATATTCAGATAATGACAACTTCACAAATCAACAGTTTATCACAAACTACAGATTTTACAAATTGTTCCGACCTATGTGCATTTAATACTCTAAGGATCTAACAGAAAGATGATACATCAAATAGAGTAATTGTGTTTTCCAGCTTAATGGCTTCAGGTTATAAACATGTAAAACATGGTTAGTTTATTACTGACCAATGATCAGTTTTAGTTGAACTATATTTGTCACCTTTCCAAATTATTTTTATTGTGGGAACATTTAGACAAAGATGTAAATTAGTATTGTTCGTTTTTGTTGTAGTGATGGGGGGGGGGGGGGCTCTAATATATTCAAATAAGGTATAAGATTCCCAAAATATTAGTAGTAAAAATTAAGGTATACAAATTATAAAACAAGGCATTAACACAAAAAAATGTCACCACCTGCAAATGTTTACAAAAAGTGTAATGTTACAGGTGAAGGTCAACCAACGGTGAAATCTCAATTCTGAAGTCAGATTTGAACTTCTGAGAACTTACAGAAGATTTTGAAAAAAAGATTTGGTCAATTTGAAGCAAGTTGAAAAAATACATTTTTTACCTTTAACTTGTTGCCATGGTTACAGATATTGCCAGAAATATGTTAGAACTCAGTAACATGTTGATAGTAAAAATTTGAAGTCTGTCTAAACAGCACTTAAATGTGTCACTGAATTTTCTAATTGTTGTTAATCATTATCTCAGTAGGAATAAAGTGAAAAACAGACTATTTTCCCCATTTTGAGATCATTTTATCTTGAAAATTATTGTGATAACATTTGGCATTCTTGTGCCCAATTGAATGTTAAGTTGTAAGAATTTGTTTACAGACATCAACTACCGAACATCAACCACCGAACACTGTTAACAATCCACCAAAATATGATTTTTGAAAATTTTGGATATATAGGTTTAATTGTATTTCTTTTTCACATTTCTTCATTTCTGCTTCCTAATTGCAAATACTAAGAAAACAGAATTCGAAAATTAAGAGGATTTTCCTTATAATTTTGAAATGACCTTTATAATGCTACTTTAGGAACACTCACAAGGGAACTTTTGTAAGTGCTATTCTTTGTAAGACTTAATCTCAATTCCTGATGGACTAATACATAATCCAAGATATGACAAGACTATTCTGAAATCTGTATGAGTAGAAGTCATTTATTCCAAACATCAAGATGATACTTAACCATTCTTCATTGTTGCTCCTTGACAATTATGGGGTGCTATGATTAAAAACCTCCAGATATTTTTATGTTGCTTGATTTTTCCTTTGACAATTTTGTTGGTAAGATTAAAATGAAAGTATTGATCTTTAGCCTGGTATTATATTTACTCAGATCATAAGATGATGAGATTTATCAGAGGAAATTGTAGAATGCCTCTTGAAAAGCAGAATATTTTCCCTGATTATTGTAGGGTTTAGAGCTGAAAATTCTAACCTCAATAAACCTTGGACTTTATTATAAACAATATGTTATTGACAGATTGAAGCTTGAAAAAAGTGTCCATTGATAAAGCGATTCAATCATCTTTTAAAATGTAAAAATGTAGCCTACAAGTAAAGTATTTTTTAATTAGGGATCTGCCATACTGATTTCTTGATAAGGAATTTTGTTCAAGCTTTCAAATTTTTTTGGATTAATTGTGTAAGTTATAATATGATCACAAATTCAAAAAATATCTTGACCCTTAAGTTGTTGTAGTGAATACAAGAAATATACATGACATTGAAAAATAAGGTAGCCAGTTAAGCTAATCTATTCTTATAAATTATGTAATTCACATATACAAACGAAATCTATTTTCAGTCTGATCAAAAAATAATTAATTAATGTTAAAGTTTAAGAAACTGCATCCCATTTTAGAATAAAACCTTCGCAATAGTACGGTATGTTTGGTAGGATTTAGAGCGTGCCAGATTGGAATAACGATCTTGTTAGACATATTGTTTATGTTTGTTTGGTAAAGAAGGTATGCTTTGCATAACGCTTGTTTATCTGTGATGTTGTAGGCATTATAACCAGGTGGAACACATCAGAATGCTATTACCATTGCATCTTCTTTTACTGTAAAGATTTAACGATTCTACAAGAGGTTTAACTTTCCCAGAAATCCTCTACTCTGATTGGTTTAAATAAGACATGTGATGAATTAGAGATCTATGGGATTGTACTTCAATGTGCAGAAATTGAATATATCACAAATGCAAGCGTTTAGTATTTTGTAGGTTCTGTTAAAAGGTTTTGAGGATTTTAGGACGATAAAATTGAGATTAAAGATAATACTGGTGGGTGGTATCCTTGCAAACATCTTTTTCTCAAACAAGACCAACTAATATACAAATATATAAACTCTAATAAACAAGCAAATTAGATATATTGAAATAGCGCACAATAAAATATGACATCATATTGTTTATCTTAAACAGTATGCCATATTTCAAGAAGTAAATGTTAAGAAAGTGTCGAGGTTCAATAGAAGTTTAAGAGGTTAAGATAAGCAATATTTTAAGTAAAACAAGGTTTTGAAGAGTCAATTGGACAATTGGGCCTCAAACAGAAATCCTGTATAAATAAAATGAAATAATTTGACACCCCTTGAGCGATCTAAGAGAAAACGAACATGATCTGAACACATCCGACATTTTCTCAATATTTACAGTTCTTAATTCTTTGCATACTTTTCAAACCAGAAATCCAGTTGAATGTTATATTAATGATATTTTGCTATCATTTATTAATTACAGGGCTGTTAATTGCTAAAGTTGAATCACAGTTTATAATAGTTGGAAAACTAATTAAGCTTTTATCTCATAATTGCACATATGAATTCATAATATTTGGAGAAAATGTACAACATTTGTTTCAGATACTTGTAACTTACTACCAGATGTGATGCTTTCAGAGCAAAGAACAAATATGAATATGTCATTTTACCATAAACTAGATATTATGTTGGGAAAGGGGGGGGGGGGCATTGAGTCAGCTTTGTTATAGAAAACTGTTGAACACTGTGTGAATAATGACCATACTAAAACTTCATGACAAAATGATGTTCTACATGTATACAACAAACTTCTAGAGGAGGTGTGGGCCTTTGTTAAAATTATTTAAAACAAACAACATTACCCCTCCCCAACATACAATTTTTTAAAAAGTGACACATTTTTATTTGACTCAGCCCCTCAACTGGTTAACATAGTATCATCGTTATGTTATGTTTATATTTGCAGAGGTAACAGCCCAATTAACAATATCATACAACCACCAAGAGCTCAACCCAACAACACAGTATATTGATGATTCCCTTATCGCACACTTCCAGGATTAAAAGCAAGGATACAAGCTCTTAATTGCAACAAGCAGATATGATAGATAGAGCCAAGAACAAGAAATGCACTTAAATATACTTCAAATTATATAAACAGAGTGCAAAACAACTGAAAATGTGACAGAGGCAGATACTTCGATATCAGAATGACAAAATTTAAATGCGACTTTTTTCGACTGAAATGGATATTTGTGATCACATTATGGTTGTTGTTCAGTGCTGAGATTAATAATGGGTTCAATCTGGATGTTGAGCATGCAGATGTGTTCCACGGGCCAAGAGATTCATATTTTGGATTTTCTATTACGCTTCATAGAAATCAGCAGGGTGCATGGTAAGTAAATATTTTATTTTTAAAACAGAAATTAAAAATATGAGTTTTAAAACTAAAAAATTTAACTATGAACAAACCTGTAGAAAAACACTTATCAAGTGAAAATATACCTGTTTCTTTCAAATAATTTATTTAAAAATATACAATTATTATGGTGTGAAAATGATAGATTGGTTAAATGTTCTATTATAAATCCATACATTGCTAAAATAATTCATGGATGGCAGTTTAACCCAAGCATCATTCTTTGCATCCATGATTTAAGTGGTCTAGGTGTATTAGAATGAAAATTGTTTTTTTTCTTTGATGAATTTCACTCATTTTTGAATGCTCTTTCATATTGACATAGAATTGAATTGATTATTTGACCATACATGTTCATAAACTTCAAGATAATATTTTGGGTTTGTTTAATAATTGTTGTCTTTAGCCTCAATTGAGACCATACAGACCATATGTAAACATGCATGTCACAGACACTATTGGATTTTTTCTCAAACTGGTGCAAAATTCATGTTTTACATGAGCTGTTTTAAAATGATTGAACTGGTCAAGATATTGCAATTACTAATTATTCACAAAATAGATTACAAATAGATTATCAAATGGGTGCAACATTATTTTCAATCGGGTGCACTATCCAGTTGTTCCAGACTCTTGTAAGATCACTGTATCATTCACACAAGGGCAAAAAGAAAGAGATGATATCTAGAAATGTGGCTGCAATCATGGCACTAATTAGTAGCAAAGAAACTTGATATGTAAAATCTCTAGTGAAAGAAATGTTTTGATTATAACTACAAAGACTACTAGATGTTTGTTTTGTTATGTTGAAATAATACTCCTCCCATATGTCTGCCCCCAGCATTGACTTTCACATACAGGGTGACACAATTACATAGTTACGAAGCCTACAGAGTGTCACATTACAAAGTGACAAGACCTCTAGAGTGTCAAATTTATAAAGTGACAAGACCTACAGCGTGACATTTACATATAGTGACAAGACCTACATGGTGACACATTTACATAGTGACAAGACCTACAAGGTGACACATTTATACAGTGACAAGACCTACAAGATGACATATTTACATAATGATGGTGAAAAGACCTTCAAGGTGACATTTTTACATATCTCGGCAAGACCTACAAAGTGACAAGGGACAAGACTTACAGGGTGACACATTAACAGTTAATAATGCTATGGTAATGGTCCCCTGTTATGAATACACATATATAAAGTTAGAGCATCCCAAAGGTCATTTTACTAGAAAACCTCCAATTATCTGCAGCTTTACATTTGTTTCAAATATTCTACAAAGATAGTTAACCAGGCTAGGGGTATATGACATGTAAAAGGCTAGAGTAAATGAATTCTGTGTTTAGCATTATTTTGTTATTGCAGAAGTATTAGCAACGAGTCTTTATTTTTATGAGATCCTCAAAATATGGGTAAATATGGATAGATGTGGGTAATATGGTAATGGTTATGTCCTAGATCCCATATATCCTGTATGGCGGCCTTTTTATGGAATTCTGAACATCAGATATGGATGGAAATGGAGCTCTTTATAGGTATGTGTAGATATGGAGTTCCTCATACATATGGGTAGAAATGGAGTTCCTCATAGATATGGGTAGAAGTGGAGTTCTTCATGAATGCGGGTAGAAATGGAGTTCCTCATAGATATGGGTAGAAATGGAGTTCCTCATACATATGGGTAGAAAGGGAGTTCCTCATAGATGTGGGTAGAAATGGAGTTCCTCATAGATATGGGTAGAAATGGAGTTCCTCATAGATATGGGTAGAAATGGAGTTCCTCATAGATATGGGTAGAAATGGAGTTCTGCATAGATATGGGTAGAAATGGAGTTCCTCATAGATATGGGTAGAAATGGAGTTCCTCATAGATATGGGTAGAAATGGAGTTCTGCATAGATATGGGTAGAAATGGAGTTCCTTATAGTTATGGGTAGAAATGGAGTTCCTCATAGATATGAGTAGAAATGGAGTTCTGCATAGATATGGGTAGAAATGGAGTTCCACATAGATATGGGTAGAAATGGAGTTCTGCATAGATTAACCCTGTGAGTAACGTTCAACATTCTAATCATTTACTTTGGCCTAAACATTGCATTAGCCTTACAGTGAATGCCTTGGTGTATTTGGGTATGATGATTCTATCACCTTACACTATGCGCACAGTAGGCAGTGGTTAGTTATCACTGGTCATATTTTCCTAACAGCATTTCAAAACATATACTAATTCTAATTAGTATAATAGATTGACCAGGTCTAGTCAAAACATACTTGTGAATCCTGTGTTTAAGGTGTCTGGGTAATTAAGGTGGGCAGATGAGGTAGTAAACCCTCAGGCACATTTGCTTTATGGCGGGTGTACGGCTGCGGCCGTAGCTTCACAAAATTGATATAGATATGCAAACAGATGTAAAACTTATCCTACTCCACCTACCTAAAAGGAATTCTATAAGAACTGAATAAAAGGATTAAGATTTTAAGTACATTATTCACGATTGCTTATTTAAAAAGAGCTTTATCTGCACAATTAGCATTAGGTGCTACGCCTCAGGGTTGATTTGTTTCAATTGTTATTCCAAAGAAATGCCTTACAGGGTTTAACTATTAAAAATGTTCACAATTAGTGGTTTTTGATATGAAGGATTTGCATGTTTCTAAAAAAACATTAGAAGGTATATCATAACCTGGGAGGTCTCCTAGATGATATGAATAAATCAAGATGGTGAAAAGTTAGTTTCAATAAAATCTAATGGTCAATCCCTGTTGTCATTAGATGACATAATGTGATTAATTATTACTTTTATATTTTGACATGATAGGCAATAAGTGCAGACAATTGTTGAATAATCAACTATTGAATACAATGTGCTCTGTGCCCATAGTTACATTGTGGTGTAAGTGATGTTGCAACGTATGTGTTAATGTAAAACGAAAGCAACTTAAGTGCACCTTTTTAAATGCAATAGGCCTCATTCTTGATCTTACAAGAAGATAGATATAACAATACAATGGCAATATCATATCATAAAAGTAGCTATGCTTGATCCAAAAGGAAATTTTTTCATAATTTTATTCATAAAAAGTAGTCAAAAAAGATTTTCTATAAGGTTTTAAAATACCATTCGAACATGACTGTATTCACGCCTTCTATAAACTGTAATCAAAGTCAATGCTTCAGCTGGGTTATATTCCAGTATAATAACCCAGTTAATATGTGTAATGTGTGACGTCATAACGGTGGGTCGTTATAATGGCGGATCATGATGAATTATTCGAAACAATTTGGTGAATTTTCATGTTCGAATCTTAATATAGACCTCAGAGCAGGGTTACTAGTTTCGAATAACACGCCGCTGGTCTCGGCACAAAGCTTTCGAACCCCTCACTCCCTTCGGTCGTTCGGGGTACAGAAAACGTTTGTGCCGAGACCAGCTGGGTGTTATTCGAAACTAGAAACCCTGCTCTTTGGTCTATATTTCTTAATTATCAATTATGGATACTATGATATCTAGTTCATGGCATTTTCCCTTGCTAATTATATCAATTACATACAAGAGTAAAAAGTTGGGCAACTGTGAACTTAAAACTATATAAATCACAATTAGATTTTTATATAAAATGAATGCAAAAATAATCTCTATTGCAGGTAAGATGCAAAAGCAGAAACTTCAATTAATTATTCTACTGTCAGAATGGTGATTTATCTGATATTAAGAGATGGGATTAGGCTTTTCACTCTTATCTCAACTGTCCAAGTTCCACAAATGAAGAAATAATGAAAATTGAAAATGGATTACGTCAGATTGACATCACTGGCGCCTGTCCTGGAATCTAATTCTAAGAAATATTGTTTTATCGTTCACTATAAGTTACTTTATTTTCAATTTAGATTGTTTCTTTAAACAAAAATGATCAATTTGAATTGGCAAAACAAAAGTCAGTTGATGAAAAATAAATTTAGTTTTAAATCACTATTGACTATCCACAAAACCCTCTCTGGCATTTACAAATTATTTTGTCAAGGAAACTATTTATGTTTTTTTCCTATAAAAGCTTCTTAGTGGCAGAAAATGCAGTGTCATGATGCAGTGTCATGCGACATCAAAGAGGTGTCTCTAATATGAAGAATGAAGTTGAGCTATTTTAGAGTGTAGCCTTTAGAAATAAATTGATACATCAATAGATCCAAATTAATTAATCTAATTAGATATTCCGTTCAATGGAGATAATCAAAGGGGATGTGACAAAAATGAATAAAATGAACATCTGAGAAAATCAGAGAGATGAAGTTGATGACTAAGTTACTTTATTACAAATTAAATAATTTCATTAATCTTTTGAGGTATACATGGGTTGGGTGGGTGCAAAATAGGGACTCTGGTTCAAAATTCAAAGAGTAGAGAGGTTTATTGATAGACCCAAACATATACCTGTATAATTGATCAAAAATATACCTATAAACTTCGTAAAAATATTCCAAAAAATTGACCAAAAATATGTCTTGGACAAAAAAGTGGAACTTAGGATGTATAATTAATGGGTCAAGATTTTGTAACATTGTAATAGTCTCTTCTCATTAATCTTAAACTGTTAAAGGATGAATATTTCCTAATAAACTAAGAGTTGGAGATACAGTGGTGAATAACTTATTATTATCAAACAAGATTTTGTAACAAGCTTTGGAAATTTCTGGGCAACCCATTAAAAAATAAGAAGATTATTAAAAAAACAAAATTCCCATATTCTTAAAACATTCGCACTTATGAAATAGTCAATTACTAATGCATCTTGAAAAAAAGAATGATTCATACAGGAGATCCAGGATATGAAAGCACTGGTCAATTTGCAATTCATTTATATTGCATGGATTCTCAGGAAATCCCCTTCAAATGCTTGTATTATCTGTCTGTCAGGGCAGTTAATCTCCATCAGCCTTATCTCTTAATAGAACATTACTGGACATGCTCTTTGCTTTAAATTGTCATGGTCTAATTAGTTTAATGTTCACACTTCAGGAAAATGTTGCCTTTAAGTCTGATTTAATAAGATAAAGGATGACCCCCTAATGGATCACATTGGTCCAAGATGTTGCCATTAAAAGAGGTTAAAGGATCTCGAAAATACCCTTCAGACTTCATTGGCTATAGTTAACAACATCCTTTAAATCATGAGATCTGATTTTGGTATACTTATTGAAGAACTCCATGAAGTTATTTCCCCAAATTAAATCTTTGTTCAAAGACAGCCTTTAGTCACAAATGAGCCTCTTACAAGTCTGTTTAATGCATAACAGTCTTTAAAAATGATAATAAGTCTTGTATAAATATGTATGGTTGTGAAGTAAGAGCCTTTAACCCAGAAACATAAGAGAAATTATCTTACAAATTTACATTTCAGAAAAAACAAAATTTGTTCCACAATATTGAAAGATTTACTGCAAATGACTCATTAAATTGGTGTTAAGATCCCATTGTAATTGATTGGTGTCTAAAATAACAGTACTTTTGGGATACATCATTATATGTTTAATGAGCTCCATTAGTTTTATAAGCTCTGATTTATGTTTCTTATGACTCTTCATTTGCAAATAGGTGACATTTATCTTTTAAGGTTCTTTCAATCATTTGTTTATTAGTGTGTGTATAGTGTGAATATTTAGATATGGAAGATGTTTTGATGTTTTTAAATACTTTACAGGTAACATACATTTTGATTTCAAAAACTATACAAGTGGAAATCAATAATACTAGAAAAAGTTACTCAGACTTTACAGTAGAGAGATTTCGCAATTCATTTATAGCATGTTTATTATTCCCATATTTAGTATAACTTATAAAGCGTTTGATTATGTCATAATTTATTGCGCAGCTCTATCGGTCCATAAGTGTGCGATTCATAAGAATATCATAATTATGGATGTATAGAGCTGCTATAGGATAATATATGACACACTTATATGTTTTAGGTTGTTATCTAACACACTAATCGTACGTTTCAGGATAATATTTGACACACATGTTTTAGGTTGTTATCCAACACACTAATCGTATGTTTCAGGATAATATATGACACACTTACATGTTTTAGGTTGTTATCCAACACACTAATCGTATGTTTCAGGATAATATATGACACACTTACATGTTTTAGGTTGTTATCCAACACACTAATTGTATGTTTCAGGATAATATATGACACACTTACATGTTTTAGGTTGTTATCCAACACACTAATTGTATGTTTCATGATAATATGTGACACACTACTATATTTTAAGTTGTTATCCAACACACTAATTGTATGTTTCAGGATAATATATGACACACTACGATGTTTTAGGTTGTTATCCAACACACTAATTGTATGTTTCAGGATAATATATGACACACTACTATGTTTTAGGTTGTTATCCAACACACTAATCATATGTTTCAGGATAATATAGGACACACTTACATGTTTTAGGTTGTTATCCAACATACTAATTGTATGTTTCAGGATAATATATGACACACTTATATGTTTAAGGTTGTTATCCAACACACTAATTGTATGTTTCAGGATAATCTCGTATATGACACACTTATATGTTTAAGGTTGTTATCCAACACACTATAATTGTATGTTTCAGGATAATATATGACACACTTATATGTTTTAGGTTGTTATCCAACACACTAATTGTATGTTTCAGGATAATATATGACACACTTATATGTTTTAGGTTGTTAACTGGAGCACCAAAGGCTGAGTCTATTCACCAACAACATCTACATAAGCCAGGTGCTGTCTTTGTATGTCCAACCACATCCACTGGTAGCACCACATGTGAACAGCTCAAACTAGACACCAGAAGTAGGTTCCTTGAATACACTATGGTACCAGTAGCACAGCAGGGTTAATTTGCTTAGTTTTAAACCATTTTGACAAAAAGCTCAGCAAGCAAGGATTTTGTGCCTAAAAAATCCTTTAATAAAGTTTAAAACAAGTTTTTTTGTCAAAATGCTTCATGATAAAACAATTAGACCCGCTGTGTACCTCTAACTTATGTTACCTAAAAAGAGTATCAAAAAATTATTGAATAAAAAATAATTCGTTTATTCTTATCTTTTATTTTTCACTCAACAATCATAAGATGATGAATTACATAATACATAGAAGGCCATTGAAATTCCATTTGAGATTGGTAAGATCTCATCAGTGTAAAAACTGTAAAATCATCAGAATGGTCAGAGGGTAGTTTGGGTAAACTAAGGGTGTAAGGGTAATAAACAACCAAAATATTATATAAAAATCATGAACATCTCCAGGTTCTAATACATGTATTACAGGTAATATAATCTAATCACAAATCACGAATGATTGTGTAGACAAACATGTATTTAAAACATTATTTGATGTTTTTGTGATTACCTGATTTTTTATCGCGGTGTTTCTTATGATTTAACGGAGATTTGATGTTCGCATTGATAAAAAAACCTACAAATTATGATGTAGAATATGACAGGTGAAAAAATATAGCTCTTACAGAAAAAAGTTAAAGTAATTTTATAATGTGCAAATCAGAGAGATCAAAATGAATTGAAACGGTTGCAAAAAGTTTATTTGTGGGTAGGGGAATAAATCTTGTAATCAACTACAACAGAAGTTACCAGTTGGTGTTATACATTTAGACAGTTTTCAAAAATAAAAAACTAGAAGGGATTAAAATAACATTGTAATATAGCCATTTTTGATTGACTGAGGTTTGTTGATGTGTTCCTCCCTAATTATATAGTACACCTTAAAACATGCACATATATCAACACTTGATCACATAAAATATATGTTTTAAGTTATCATTTCTTTACAAAATGTCTTTTTTATGAAATATAAATCTCAACTTGGGAGGTAGAGCCCTAAGGAGGAGAGATTTTTCTCCGTAAAGTTCTTTAAAAATTTACAAATTAGCATATGATTCTCACCTATGAAGAAAAAAGAATTTCTGTTTTGTAATCATAGCAAGGTGAAGTGTTGAATTCAATGTAGTTTTTGCTTCAAAGATGCGTACACCTCATAAATCAGAAACATAGTTTTTATCATTTGTCACTTAAATAAATCGTCTCGTGAAATGTATAATTAACTGAGTAGTAGAGGTTAGGGGCCGTAGGAGGCTGAGTTAAATTACAACCCTAGATATCTTTATTATCTTTATCATATTTTAAACTTATGATTCACAACCATTTTGAGGTATTAACTTTGATATATCTTCTCATCTGATCATAATATAATTTAATAATGATTTAGTATAATTTCTCGGTACTATTCAATGAAAGTTTTTGATAAAAAAACACATTTTGTTTGCTGTATATCATGCCTCCATTCAAGTGGTATAGTAGGAAAAATAATAAATATACTTGTTCTTTTTATTGAAATAATAATATGCTGAAACCAATAATAATTCTACTATAGATAACCTATTTTGGACGTCTTGGCCAAGGTTTTTTGATGAAAAGGACAACCAATGGCTTGGTGTTTCTATTGATTCACAAGCCAACAATCTCAACCCATCTGAGGGCATCAGTGGGAAAATTGTGGTAAGTATTAAACTAACATAAGTTTCTTATGTTTGTGAGTACAATAAAGGAGCTCGTGGGTTATCGCAAACAATTTCAGAAGGTTATATCTTGGATTATGACTATTTTCTGACAATGAAGACAAGTTTATCTTTTAGATCAATTCATTATCTCAAAGAAAATTATGCACAGTAATAATAAATTCAAAGATATTTAACTAGCAATTAACCCATCAACACACTTTTTCAAAGATGTTGACCCCATTTTCACCAAAAATGCAATAATTTTTTACAATGTTTAATGCATTACTATTCTTTTTCCATTGAAAAATCTCATGCTATCCATTGGTTTCAGTTCATTTTGGTCATCCAAATTGAATATCTTTAAAGTCCCTAGAGCAATCAAATTTTCCTTTCAGGAAATCAAACATGTCTCAAAGCACATTCTAATTATGCATTCAACAATATAATAATAGATTGCATTTTTGGTGAAAATAAGGTCAACATTTTTGAAAAAGTATGTTGATTGGTCCATTGCCCCTTCAATATCACTTAGGTCTGATTAACTAAATTATCATTATACATGTATATACTTTTCTTGAAGATAATGAATGATCATCAATAAAAGATCATCATCAGAAAATATTCATAATTCAAGTTAGAATCATTTGAAATTGTTTGCGATAACCTACATGCTCCTTTGTGGTGAGTACAATTAAGATGTGGTAAGTACAATACACTCTTGAAGAGTGAAGTACAGTACAGGTAGATTGTGGTAAGTATGGTAGTGAGTACAATAATCTTATGGTGAATACAATGAATTTTTGGCAAGTATTTTTAACATGTGGTAAGTACAATAAACTTTTGATAGGTACTGTGAACATGTTGTAAGTAGAATATAGGTATTTATGATAAAGTATTTAATTAGGTATGTTTTCTGTTTTCACATGTTGCTCTTTGTACTGTATCTTCCCAGTTAAAAGAGCTATTCTGAGTGCAGAGGTTAGCTTAAAGTAATGAGGAAGACGAAGCTTTCTTTTAAGTAACAAAGTTGAAAGGATGGAAATGGTATAAAAGAACTGCAGTTTGAAATCTGCAAAATGTGATAAGAGCAACCTTCCTCATAAGTGCAACTCTCTATTGTAAATTTTGATTGTTCCAAAACAGAATGCTTCAAATATTTGATTTAGTTCTTAATTCTTTTAAATGCACCACATGTTTTATGAAAAGGAAAGCTGTCTAACTTTAATTTGATGAAAAAAGTTCATGTTTAAATGACATCTTCTTTGTACCTCAATAATTAATATTTCTAAGGTTTGAACATGTTTTAAAACCACCCTGAAATAACAGACAGCAAAATGAAAAAGGACATTGCAATTTATGAATAGTTTGCATAGTAATGAGTAAGTTTGAGACATGTAGTTACTCATCAATGAAAGCAATGTAAAGTAAAACCTGTCTAATCTGAACATTCATCGGATTGGCCATTGTTCAAATAAACTAGATGCGAGTAGAAATGATCTTGATTTACGTCATTAAATATTCAAAATTCAATCAAAGTGATGTCATATTTGAAATCTACATGTAAAAATACATTTAAAAATATGGTTTCGAAAATTGTTTATCAACTTTGAAAATTTAATATTTTTTGAAAATGTGACTTCTAGCTCGGGTTGATTCCCCATAGACCCCATATTACAAAATCACAAAAAGTGAAATAACTTTTCTTGTATTGGACATCTAACATTTTATTTTACTGGACATACTTTAATTTGCATAATTATTCGATACATAAGGGCTATATGAAAATTGAACCACTAAAACCTATGTAATTTAAGTTAAAGGGAACTTTCTACTATACCCGCCATGCTATCTGACCCGAGCGAGCCACCTGGCGGTGAAACTGGTAACTACCTACTCGCATTTGCGTTATTGGCAGGTGTTTACATTTGAAGGTTTTTAACATGGAAATCCAAGGCAGATTGAAAAGAAACAGGAACACAAAAGTGCATTCAATGAAAGGTGTTCAGATTAGAGAGGTGTTCAAATATACAGGTTTTACAGTACTAGGAACATATTAAGGCTAGATTAAGGTAGGCCATGTAGAAACAGATATCTGGATAATATTTATGTACTGTCGTGCATACTGGTTGAATATAGTGTTATGCCCCATAATCACCTATTTTGGTCTCACTAGGTTCACCTTAAGGCTTACTTTGATGAAGTCAGAGTAGAAAAAGCATTATTTTTATTTTTATTTTTTTAGCAACAGGTCCAAAGTTGTCCTACAAGGCTCACCTTAAGGATAGCTTTAAGGAAGGTTGAGTAAAAATAAAAATGCAACAAATATTTAGCTGTTTTTGAGAGATATTCAGAGTGTGAATAGAGGTGTCCAAAGTAAAGAAGTAAAAAGGTGAAAGAAGTTCATGTCACCCACTTTATATTGTTCTGTATATTAACTTCATATTAATGTATTTCTCATCTACAGATCTGTGCACATCTATGGAAAGATCGTAAATACAAGGAGCACATTAGCGCAAATGGTTTATGTTACGAGATAGACAGCAATCTAAACTTTGACTCAGTGACCCAGTTACGCCCCCTGATCGACAGTAGGAAACAGAGCAAAGATGGGATGCACTATTACGCTTTTGGCCAGGCAGGCTCTGCTGTACATTTTGCAAAGGTTTGTATACATGAATATTCAAAGGGCCTGGTAGGGTAAACAGCCAAGTATATTTCAAAACAATGGCCTTTTCTCAATGGAGTAAACCTGGATTAAATCAAAATTATTAGAAAGCCTGAGGAATCATACATGTCTTAAAATACATGTTCATTACTCTTTGAACTAGTACTGTTTTGTATTAATTGATTAATTTACAAAATGGAACTATTCTTATGTTGTTGTTTTTTATCATTTCAGGATGGAACCACACTTATGTTGGGTGCAGTAGGCTTGTTGAACTGGACAGGTATTGTATAAGGCCATTCAAAATTTAGTATTTAGTATATGTTTAACGTCTCCTCCCATGTATGATTTAAGCAAACTTTTAGAAACAAAACATGTACCACATGTAGTGAATAATTCTAATGACAATAGAAATCAAGGATGATGGTATTAGGTATCAAAAAGAAATTTGGTCAAAGCTTGCCTTCCTCACTGAAGTATTTAAGGATCTATACTTCTCTATTGAAGGATCTATAATTCTCTGTTGTTTTATAAGATGTTTAACAGGAAATCAACCATCCTTCAAAAACAGCGGATTGAGATGTCCATTTATTTTAAAATAGCTAGCACCAGTGCCACTTTAGCAAAATATATGTCATGTATGTGGGCTAAAAATGCTATTGTAGATAGTATAGTCGCAATCCTGGAAATAGTTCTCCCATTTCCTTAAGAAACATTAAGCTAAGAGAATTTGTATGCATACAGCCTTCGTACATTCATTTTTATAAATGTAAACCTGCTTCATATTACAGGAGGTGTAGTAGAATATGATGTGACAGACTACACCAAATACATGGTAGACCCTGCAGAAAGATCTGACAATAACAGCTATGTGGGTAAGGGATCTGAAAATCACATTTCCTTAGATTTTTAAATGAATGTTTACTATTGTTGTTTACCTTGTCATAATTTGTTTATTTACTTTTTTCATTATAGACTATTATAATGGTTAGTTTTGAAGGTGACTATATTCATTTTATGGGAGTTCTTGCTGGTAATTTATACTATTACTGTTGGCTGATAATTTTGCCATGTTTTGGAGAAATCAGCTTTTCTACCACACACGCTCACTTAACACACACTTTTAAATATGGTAATTCAAAGTAATCGTTTTTATTTCATTGCCATTGCAGGATATTCTCTCTCTTCTGGTAGATTCTACATTGGGACTACCATCTACAAAGTTGCTGGAGCACCAAGATATAATAACCATGGAAAGGTAAATACGTTGTAATTAGAGGTTATGTCACTATCATGGCATATATGCCCAAGGTCTCAGTGATATATGGCCCGACCTTGGGAGGGACATTGATCTCTGAGAACCGAGGACATATGTGCCACGATAGTGATAGTAACATACCTATGATGATGTAGACTGGTCAGAGAGTACCGTTTTTTTATAGAATTGACAAACAAATGGTTTGAAAATGATTGAAATGATTAAAGAAAAATTGCTCACGCAGTTTTAGCTTCGATTGATTGGTTATGACATCAGCGCCTTGAACAATCAGAAAGTTTGCGGGTGCAGGCTTTTCCCAACTGATATTGGCCCGTTGTCTTAACACTATACATCATCATAGGTATGTTATAATGTCAGTTATTCCATGCTTAATTTCAAATAAGGTAATAAATAAAACATGTTGATAAAAAGATGCATTTCTCCTGGATCCATTCCATGATACATTGCATATCCACCCTGTCCTTTATTGACCTTTTCGCCAAATTTTCATGTTTCCCTCCATTTTTCAATTTGTGTTCACTATCATATTTTCCATTTACTTACCCTTGATTTTTGGGGAAAATGAATAAAATGTTTATCAGTAAAGTTATCTATATTTTCAAAATGTTTCTTTTTGCTAAAGGTCTACATCTATGAAGGTGACTTCCATGTGCGTATGGAACTACAGGGTGATCAGATTGGTGAATACTTTGGAGCATCTGTATGTGCAATAGACTTAAACAATGATGGCTTAGATGATCTACTTGTTGGGGCACCCCTGTATTCTGATTTTGAAGATGAAGGAAGAGTGAAAGTTTTTATTAATAAACAAAATGTAAGCACAAATAAAAATTTGTACTCGTCACATGACTTGTGTCATAATTGTAATTTTTGATAACTATTTCCGAATGTTGATGAAATCTAATCGTTAACATTGTCCATATCTCCTCTTGTGTTAAGGGTGTGCTATCTGAGGGAGTTATATTGAAAGGATCAGGTGCCATCAGAGGAAGGTTTGGAACATCAATTGCAGCTGCCGGGGATCTCAATAGAGATGGCTATCAAGGTAAACAACCATTCATTATTTCAAACAGAATGACCATATATTATGTAATAGGTTAGAGATTGCATCAAAACACACATCCACACACCCCAAACCACAATTTTGATTCCTTGACTCCATCCCTCTGTTAGTCTGCCATGTGAGCAACTAATTATATGAAATACAACCTCATTATTTTCAGATGTTGCTATTGGTGCACCATATGAAGATAATGGAAGGGGTGCCATCTATATTTATCATGGGAGATTTGATGGAATACACGCAGAATACTCACAAAGGGTAGCAGCACGGAGTATTGATGATACACTGAGAACATTTGGCTTTGCCTTGAGTCGAGGATTAGATGTTGATGATAACCAGTACACAGGTACATTATATGAGGGTTGTCCCAGAAATCCTGAACTAAGGCTTTATATAGAAAACCTCCTACCTCATACCCACCTACCCACCTACGTGGGACATGATACAGTCATTGAAGGGTTCAATTATAAAGATTTTTAAATCTCAAAATAGCTCAAATTATTTACATTTCTACAATTCCGGCTTTATTTTATGACTAGACGGATGACAGATCCATAATTAAAGGCATATGGGTGCATTATAATGTGTAATGACCCGAGGGCGCCCCAGGGGAATAACTAACTAACTAACGACCACGAGCATAGGTCCAACAAGCCAGATAAAGAAATTGAAAGAAAGTGTGCCCAATTCAATGCCCCGAGTGGGAATCGAACCCAGCTGGGCTGTAGTAGCAACTTGCTATCAAGGGTCGTTACAAATACATCTATTATTCATCATAAACTAAGATTTAATAAACTAAGATCTTTAAAATTGAACCCTTCAAAGACTGTATCATGTCCAACGTATGTGGGTAGGTATGTATGAGGTAGGAGGTTTTTTATACAAAGCCCTGAACTAATTACTCTAGACTATAACTAAGGATTTGCATTAATCAAGGCTGACATTTCATCAGTATATTCTTGAGAGGGTTTAATAAATAGTTTCATAAATGTTTTCAACTTGATATACTGGTAAGAAGGTAACAAAATGTTAGAATTCCCGTGCCAGCAGGTAAAGCATAACTGAAACCATTAAAATCTGATGTGTCAATATTAATTGTCTTAACTCCTAAAATATGGAACACAATTTTCTCATAACAGAACTACACATGCACATCCTGGATACTGATGTAACTTTACTACACATATCAATCTCTGACATTTTAATTTTGCTTTCTCTCATTCCAGATCTTGCCATAGGGTGTTACAAATCCAACAATGCGGTGCTACTAAAGACTCGTCCTGTTGTTAACCTTCATGGATCACTCCTTCTCTCTACCACAGAGCTAGATCTTGTATTCTCCACTTGCCATTTAAACAACCACACTTATAGCTGCCTTACATTGACTGTCCAGTTCAAATATGATGGACTTTCCCTGCCCCAAACAATTAGTAAGTGAGGCTGATGTAAATTATTAATTTCATTTTTGCTTTTCCATTTTCATAACTATGCTCTTAAAGGTGGCAGCAAAGAAAAGTGATAAAATGTTGAAAGCAGTATAAAATTTATAAAATTTCATTGCAACCACTTTTTGTAACAGGCATCATCATTAAACATTTGGCATTCATTATTCAGTATCCGTAACAAATTGTTACACTTTTTAATTGTAACTTGGCAATGTCATAATGTCCTGTTGATGCCTTGTTTAGAAAGCTACTATCAATTTGTAAAAAGTCTTTATTGCACCCATAAATTATTGGAAGATGAATGAATTATATCATTGACAAAACTGCATGTATAGGATTACATAGAAAATTGCATATTTTTTCAGATATCCAATACTCATTAAAAGCTGATACCTTGAAGCACTTGGACAAGGTCAAATACAGAGGATATTTCTCTGGTACTGGCTCTGCCCATGTCTCAGCACATGCCATGATAGTCAAAGACATTCCATATGTACAGAAATATACAATCATCATTAATGTAAGTGAACCTTAGATTAAAAAATAATTTAAAAACTAAGATGCAAGATCTCCAAAATTGACGACTTGTAGTTTTTGTATGTTAAAAGTGGTTCATAAGAGACATTTCACAAACAAGGCACACTATAAATAACTATACTTTAAACAGCTTTTATTTGTATCTGTATTTATGTTTTTCAGCCTGATATAAAAGACATTATCACCCCACTTCAATTTGAATTGGAGTATAGCTTAGATAGTAAAACAAAACAGAGTGCCCACACCTTGCCACCTATACTCAATATATATACTCAAACACTACAAATAAAACAGGTAATAGCTTGTATGAGTAGCATTTTATCAAAATCAACTGTTTTGTTCATTCAGATCTAAATGTTCTCATTATTAAAATTTGGGGGGGGGGGGGTTGGACATTGCTAAATAATCCAAAAGTGGGGCTTAAATTTTCAAATTTCCAAATTTTTTTCTAATTTGAAATGTGACCCCCTCCCACTTGTTAGCTTCTGGATCTCCCTGTGAAGTCCCAGGAAATTTTCTTGCAATTTGGCTTCGACTTGATGGTTGTGATGTCAAAGACATCCTTCAATTTCTGAGTATTGATTGTGAGTGCCACTTCTACCATATAGTCTACATCATAGGTTTACTTTTAATTCCAGGCAATATTTGCTCATGACTGTGGAGAAGACAACATCTGTTTAACAGACCTCCAACTGAGGGGTAACATAGATTTACCCCTGGGGAACAGTTATATCATCCTGGGGTACCCCCATGGCATCATCACACTCAACCTTGAACTCAACAATAAAGGAGAGACATCTTACCTCACAGAAATTACAATATCATACCCAAAACTAATGCAATATATTCAAGTAGAGACACTATATGGAGACATTAAACTAATGTGTATTCCAAATGCTAGAATAAATGAAAATGACTCCATGCCATTAATATGTGAGCTGACTAAACCCATGCATGCACATTCCAAAATCATATTTGCAGTTAAGTTTGATATTAGTAAAATAGAGAACACTAAAGGAGGGCTGAATGTGGAAGCCATTGTTAAATCAGGGAGTGTTGAATACGCCAATACCACCAGAGACAATGCTTTTAAACAGCATCTTCCTATCTATGTGGAGGCTGATGTAATATTTACAGGGTGAGAAAATTTATTTTTACGTTTATTTTGAAATAATAAGAGTTGAAAAATAATATTTAGAAAAATTATAGGATATGGGATTTATCCCATATTTATTCTAAAAAAATGAAACCAATCAATATCAATAATTCGAGAAGATTAGGAATCATAGTAGTTTGCTTCAATTGTTTTCCATTTCTGTTTATCGTTAAACCTTTTTTACTCCATGTTACCTAGTACATGCATATGAGGCCTCAATTCCAGAATATAATGTTTGAAGTTTGTCATAGAATTAAAACAAAAATTATTACAAACCTAGTATATCATTAAAAAATGTTGATATCTTTCTTTTGTAGGGTGTCCCATCCAGAACAACTAGTCTACAAAAACCTTAAAAACTCATCTACAGGGTGTGCCAAAACCTCATCTTCAGAATACACATATCCCTTGATACATACCTTTGATATTATGAACACTGGTCCTGGCAGACTGCCACATATAGATCTAGATATCCTTGTGCCAAATATAACTTGCAACAAAGTTGCATTACTTGAGATTACAAATATTGAGGTATGTGAGCTTACCAATAATGATTTTAATGATATATGAGGGGTCAAAGGACTTGGAATCAGAATTAGAAAACCAAATGAAGTCCCATCCTATACTTCTGTATTTGGAAGATAATTAAGACATAAATTGTTTAAATGTAACTAATGAGGCCCATGAACACATGAAATGGGACAATTGTATCCCAATGATTTTATAAAACATGTAAATAACTCTGAAAATCATACTACTTTCCTGTTAAACTGAATCATAAATCAGTTTTTTGCCAATGATATGTTTGTTATGTTTCAGATTATATATAAAAGTAATTCCCTGGAACATAACTGTAGAATAGTTGAGAATAAGTTCACAAGGGGGTATGATAAACCCATGGACTCCAATGGTACCATATATGACATCAAGTTTTCAACGGCACTAGAGCAGAAGGGGACATACAGCCTGGTAATGACTTAAATAATATTTTATTTATCAACTATTCTGTTATTATGTGAGCAGTGCAGTAAAGATGAGAAAGCACAAAGGGGAAATTTGATAAACAAAACTTTATAAATCATTAACCATCTTAATTCTTTTAATGTGACTTACATATTTTACTCATGTACATTTAAGTTATACTTCATAATAATCTTTATAAAGAGATGGTGTCCAAATGTATACAGTTGTAGAAAAATAAAATTATCCCCACCCCCACAGAATTAACTTCATTATCTCATAACTGTTGACATTTGATCACCATCTCTAGCATAACAACTTTGATTTGTAACTACGTTGTTACATTTCAGGACTGCACTAATGCCCCTTGTGTCCATTATAGTTGTCAATTAGGACAAATTGCAGTTGGAGAAAGTGCACTCATAATGCTTCATTCAAACTTACACACTTCTGTGTTACATTCAATGCAAGTAAGTTCAAGCTTACACGCTTCTGTGTTACATTCAAAGCAAGTAAGTTCAAAATTACACACTTCTGTGTTATATTCAATGAATATAAGCTCAAAATTACACACTTCTGTGTTGCAATGCAAGTAAATTCACAGACTTCTGTGTTACATTCAATGCAATTAAGTTTAAAAAATATGCACTTCTGGGTTACATGCAATGCAAGTAAGTTCAAAATTACACACTTCTGTGTTATATTCAATGCAAGTAAGCTCAAAATTACACACTTCTGTGTTACATTCAATGCAAGTAAGTTCAATATTACTCACTACTGTGTTTTATTCAATGCATTTATTTTATTATATTGTCTCTATTATAGCCATTGCAGTATTTTGACCTGATGACTGAAATGTCCATCACGTTGCCATATCAACCTGGGCTCATTATGTCACGACACACCCAGTCTAAACAGGTAACTCCATTTGTGACTTTTACCATCTTTTTGTCACACTAGTTGGAATCTCAAGACACCAAATAATCTTGTACTGTCATGGTAAAATATGACATCCCTAATTGTTGATATCCATACTCTCTTGAATGATTAGATACAGATCAATCTTGCTGTTGAGCTCCCGGTGAATTGTCTAATGTATTAATATCTATTGGGATTGAAGATGCTTTTTACTTATGGTCACAATATTACCCAAATCACTCAAAATAAAATTTATGTTTAACAAAAAATCTAACACAGAATAGCATGTCACACTCAATCCAAGTAAGTTGACGATTTTTAATCTATTTTTAGGTAACTACACACCTGTATCCACAGTCCACAAGTTATGAAACTCACTTGTCCTGGTGGATCATCCCAGCCAGTGCTGGCATTGGCCTTATGATACTCATCATCATTAACATCATCTTATGGAAGGTAGGTCACATTTCATACACAATAATTGTTACTATATTCACACCTTGCACATTCAGGTATCAGTTTAAATCAGGATATGATCGATCCCAGATGTGCCTGCTTTTTAAATCTAGTTTTTGTTTCTCTGACAAAAATCTCCAGCTCTGCTTTTGTTGAAAAGAATCTAAGAATATTACATCGTTTAAGATTTGATATCATACTCTTGCAAATACTTTTTAGGACCTTACTTTCAATAGCATCAAAATTGTCTATTTTCAGTCTGGTTTCTTCAAAAGGAAGGACAAAGAGGACCTACAAAAACTCATGTCTAGCTATAGAATAGAAAACACTGAATCCTTACTTGATCATGAAAACAACATTGATATTCTTGAAGGAGAAGACGGGGATACTTTATCCTCTAGATCAACTACCACACTGATATAATCAGACACTCATATAATCGAGACTCTGATATAGCTTATTGTATAGCATGTTTGCTGAAAATATCATTAATTCAAATTCCCATGAGATTTCTGTTTAGAATAATAATTAATGATATTTTTGGTAAATTGTCTCTGGAATAATAAACGATATTGAGGGGTTACTTATTTCCCTGTCCTCAATTCAAGTTGTAAAGAATATTGTGGTTTCTTTATTCGATGGAAACATTTTGGATGTACTTGGAGCTAGCTCTGCAACATCAACATTGAATTCATGCTCCAGGAAAGAATAGACAAGGACTAGTAGGATTTATTTATTCTTAATGAACAAGGAGATATACATTTTTTATAATCATAAGTGCAATAAATTATTGTGTAATAAAATATAACAATAACATAATGTCTGATTTCTAAATGTTTTATTTATAAAATATTATTAAAAAAATTATTCACGTGAAATAACAATTACCATACCACAAGTGGTATCAGTCTCATAGCATCACATTCATTGCATCCACACCTCTGCTACAAATGCTTGATTCAGATTTTCAGACAAATCATGTCATTTATTTTAAGTAAGAGATTAGATCTCTATTTTGACACTTTTTGAGGGAGTCTTTAAACATCTCAATGGATTACTTAGAACAACAATTGAGGTACACTTGAAGCATCAGAATTTACCCAGAAATGAGTGTCTGAGATAAGACAGAGCAATGATTTCACTGAATAAGACAAGGAGATTGGTGGTTTGTTAGACACAAAATAAACTTAACTCTGAACCAATTTTCCTGACACCAACCTGCAACAGTAATATATTTTGGTTTCACCTCCAAAACACCACTAATGAACATCAGTTCTCAGTGAATGTCCATGTTTCCTAAGTGACATCTATATTATTGAGTAGAGTGAATGTTTATTCTAAATAGGGAATTCGAAGTGGCCAGACGTACATTCAGCAGTGGTAAGCATATTTTGATTTACATGCCCGAGCAAGGGGCTAAAATAAAAGGCTTTGAGGGCCTAGAGATATAATGCCCGAGCAAGGGGCTAAAATAAAAGGCTTTGAGGGCCTAGAGATTAAAAGGCTTTGAGGGCCTAGAGATATAAATGCCCGAGCAAGGGGCTAAAAATAAAAGGCTTTGAGGGCCTAGATATAAATGCCTGAGCAAGGGGCTAAAATAAAAGGCTTTGAGGGCCTAGATATAAATGCCTGAGCAAGGGGCGCCCGAGCAAGGGGCTAAAATAAAGGCTCCAAATGCCTGAAAATATATGCGCAAGCAGGGGGCAAAAAATATGAACCATAAGGGGTAATGAATAAAAGGCCTTGAGAGCCTAGAGATACAGAGATATATGCCAGAGTAAGGGGCTATTGAATATAACTTGAGACAATATAAGAGAAGTTTTCTGAGAGGCAAATATTTGACAGAAACAAAGAAAAATAGAACATTGATGACATGAAAAATCTTGATAACATGGCCTTATAATGAACACTGGATAATTCAACGTGTTAATAACACAGTAAAATTAGAGCTCATTATACAGTACGTTATAGTACAGTGTGACGAAAATAATGACACTCAGGTATAATCTGGTAATTGGCAATTGAATGAAAACTGGGGTTTACTCAATAGAAAGTAGGTTGAATTGTTTTGACATGACTGGATAACCTATGCAAGTGATTGGTTATGTAATGGTTTAATTCCATGTACCCTCTTGTAAACTAATTTGAAAATGACTTGAGTTTGTAACATTTGAAACTAGTGAAGTCTGATAAACAATTGGCTTCTCTTTACATCTAAAGTCCGGGAGCACTGATCTCTTAGTGGTTTTAACTACGTGGACTTCGGATGTGAGAGTTGTCTCTCCACAGTAGGAGGTAATTGGCAATTGAGGATAATTACTCATGTTAGGGGACTGATTTTTCCCCACCAGTAATTCATGAATGGAACATTGATATGAGGTCAATTTTAGGTTTTATTAGCTTCATAATTACATCATGGAAAACCATCTACTAGAACTACTGGGAGAGATTGCTCTCAAATCCGATGTCCACGTTAGTTTTTTGTTAATTTTCTATTAAAGATTTGAGGATTGGGAGTAGTAAAAATTAACCAATCACATTATTCAGGATGTAAATACACCGCAAAGGGTAAAATTAAATGTGTATTTCACCCAATCCTTTAACATGAAATCTACTTGAATGTATGGATGTCACTTAGGAAACATAGATTTCCTAAGTGACATCTATATTATTGAGTAGAGTGAATGTTTATTCTAAATAGGGAATTCGAGGGAGGTAGTCATTAGCGAATGGAATGGATAATAGTTTACATATCATGAAATTTGGATGAAATATCATGGAATTGGGAAATGATTGAAAAATAAGTTACCCTCCCACCCAACCCATTTCCTGAGGCTGCACATTCTGGTGGGTTTCACTTAAATATGTATTTCACCCAATCCTTTAACATGAAATCTACTTGAATGTATGGATGTCACTTAGGAAACATAGATACTGTAGATCTGTCATAACAAGACCAATAAATGTTAATTAATGACTAATTAATGAATACCTACTCTCAGTGAAACTGTAGATCTGTCATGACAAGACTTATGAACACTTATTCTCAGTGAATGCGCATAAACTGTATATCTGTCATGTCAAGACTTATGAACACCTTTATGAACACCTATTCTTAGTGAATGTGCATAAACTGTACATCTGTCATGACAAGACTTATGAACACCTACTCTCAGTGAATGTCCATAAACTGTAGATCTGTCATGACAAGACTTATGAAAACCTATTCTCAGTGAATGTCCAAAAATTGTATATCTGTCATGACAAGATTAATTAACATCCATTCTCAGTGAATATCCATAAACTGTAAAGCTGTCGTGACAAGACTTATGAACACCAATTCTCAGTGAATGTCCATATATTGTATATCTGTCATGACAAGATAAATGGATATCTAATCTCGGTGAATGTCCATAAACTGCAGATCTGCCAAGACAAGACTTATGAACACCTATTCTCAGTGAATGTCCATAAACTGCAGATCTGTCATGACAAGACTTATGAACACCTATTCTTAGTGAATGTCCATAAACTGTAAATCTGTCATGACAAGACTAATGAACACCTATGTCTTAGTGAATATCCATGAATTGTAAAGTTGTCATGACAAGACTTATGAACACGTATTCTCAGTGAATGCCCATAAATTGTATATCTGTCATGACAAGACTTATGTTAGTGAATATCCATGAATTGTAAAGATGTCATGACAAGACTAATGAACACCTATTCTCAGTGAATGTCCATAAACTGTAAATCTGTCATGACAAGACTAATAACACCTATTCTCAGTGAATGTCCATAAACTGTAAATCTGTCATGACAAGTATACTGCCTGGCAGTGGTCGGGGACAGGGTGATAACACACCAAATGTCTCTCTTTCCATGTCAACCAGTGTACTGGAATGAAAATAAATTAACATGTTTAATATGTTTATAATACAGACAGATATGTTCACTAAGTTTGTATACTGCAGGAGTTGTCCAATAATCTTTTTAAAGCAGCATATGAATTATTTTTCTTTAAAAAAACAAATATAAAAATATTTCTTAAATGACTATTAGAATGTGATTTGTCACACTTCAAAATGTTGCACTACAATGTTAAATTATACATGAACTGACTGTACTTACACTAAAATTAATTACCTAAACTACAAAATATTTACTTACACTACAATAAAACCTGCTACATTCTTACTGACAACATCCTCCTCCTCTGACTTAGCAAGACTGACACACAAAACACGATGCAGAATTGACTGTCCTGAAAATACAAGCACACAAGTTTCCTGTTAATTGCTCAAAACAAACTATCACTTGTCCACACATAGAAGGTCTTAAAGATGCCAGCCTAAAATAAGGGAGAAACAAGATATCGTCATAAATTGTAATTGCCCTTATTTTTTTCCCTTTCCAACGGTATTATTCAAACTGTACTAGTGTCTGATCTTAAGTCTACTTTGTTCAACAATTCATGATTGCATCAATTGTTTTTCAATTTCTTTATAAAATTATATACAGATGTACACCACAAAGTTTCACAAACTAAAAACAGCAACTCCTGTGAGTAGCAAATCCCACGTAACAAAACATGTTTTGATAAATAGCGGCCATCTTGAAAATCTCTTCTTGAACAAAGTTATTTTGTTCCATCAGCGTTCTTTTATGAAAAATGGTGGCCATTTTAAAATTCAGCTGCTATCTAAAAAATTCCTTATCAAGCAGAGCTACTGTGCCCCTTGGCATCACCATATAAAATTTGAATGAAATCTGTCAACTGGTATTTGAGTTATCAAAGATTACGTTCTTTTATGAACAATGGCAGCCATTTTGAAATTCAGCAGCAATCTTGAAAATGTCCTCTTGAGCAAAGCTCCTTTGTCCTTAGGCATCGGCATATAAAATTTGAATCAAATCTATCAACTTGTATTTGCAGCAATATTGAAAATTCCTTCTCAAGTAGAGGTCCTACACCCATAAGGCATAAGCCTATAAAATTTGAATCAAATCCATCAACCGGTATATGAGTTATTGCCCGGACACACAGACGGACGGCTTTCCTATATCCCCTTTGAACTTTGTTCGGTGGGATAAATACAGAGTGTTATCTTCATAATATGTTGGTGTTATATCATTTATAACAAGATAATACTTTACTGTATTTTAATGGAAGACAAAAATACAAGATTGGACATTTTGATATTTGTTTCTTACCTGGTAGTACTGGTACCAGCTTCAATTCATTATCTTCAGATTTATTCCCAGCTGGTAAACAAGAGTCAGGCAACACAGGGGCTGAAATGGAACATTAACCAAATCAAATATATTTCAAATAGGACATTAGGTAAATATTTCAATGCTCTTCCAAAATATAGTTTACAATACAGATTGGCCTTCTACCTTCAACCAGAAATATTTACCCTCCTCCCACAAATGTGAATATTGATTTTTCTGTGCAATATCGAAATACATGTAGAGACTAATTATCCCGCATTTGAAATAGAAAGAAATTTTTATAAAAAGTACACATTTATAATAGACGTGTTACTCTTCAACCAATTTAGGGTGTTACTATTCAAAATTTTCATTGCGCTTTTATGAAACATGTTTTTACTTAATTTCCTGTAATAGTTTTGCAACAGATAGGTTGGTTTACCTCCAATTTTGAATATTTTCACCGTAGAAAAGGGGACTTCAAAAGAATGTGGGTAAAGCTGTTGCTTGATTCCATAGAAGTATTCTCGTATCTTATCATCCCTGGCTTGCATACGTCTCTCCCTGGACCTCTCAACAACCTGAAATGATATAAATAAAATGAATTAACATAAATTATACGATTGAACGCAAATAATATGAAATATAAAATGCACCTCAGGAGTGAACCTGAAAATTGAAAAGGGGGTAGCAAATTTTTTCCCTCCCTTTTTACGAAAATTTGGGCCTATTATATCCAATCAATAAATACAACGTACCCCTCCTGATTTAGGTTGCAGCACTACTTTAACAAAATCGGGTACATCTCTGCAGAGTTCATTGTACAGTCTCTCTTGGTCAAGAACCAGAATCACATCAGCTAAAATATATCAATATAAATATTACAATAGACACATTACAATAGAGGAGTTTTAAAAGTTACAGCAAAATAGTTCAATAATCACTGATCAGTGTCTTCTTAAACTGGAGATATAGATCTTCAAAGTTATTCTATATGCTGAGTTTACTCCTATGTCTTGAAATCCCTTACAAATGTACGTTAACAGGCTGGATTGAAAAATGGGATACTGTTTCATTCTTGAAAACATTTAGGATCACATAGATAAAGCATGTATATATAGCATGTAGACTCGTTGTTCCCAAACTATAGTTGTGTGAATGAGGCAAATCTGTAGATGTAATTCCTATATGGATCTTTTGCAAAAAACAAAATACAATAGGTTCATACTTTCAAATGCCCATGCAGCATGTAGTATGCTTTGGTATCCTCCACCTTTTATCCATCCACATGTATTGATCACAACTCCACTAGCTGCAACTGCAACATGACAATAATAATATTGTAAAACATTTCATTTTCATGTTTCACATACTTGCCCGTTTCAAGATTTTGTAAAATTCAAGCATAAGTGTATTACTGAACAGTCTTTTGATATAATAAATGACTAGAAAAATGTGTGTACATGTATGTGAATTTTTAATGAAACATGAAAACAAATATATCTTAAACATGTTCCAAAGTATTGTAAGGATGATAGGATGATTGAAGGTCCCACAATACATTATTGAATGGTGTAGTGCACAGGGCTTGCATATTAACGGCGTCCCGTACATGTTAAGGACTCAAAAATAATTTGGAGGACGCAAAAATTAAAAATATTTCCGTTTTTTGGACGCAAAATTTTTTTAGGTCAATACTACAATGTGTTTACAACGATACCTAACAAAAACAAATAATTATGATCTCTCATCTTTATTTGAATCGTAAATAAGGCTCAACATGTTGAATATTTACAAATAATCATGATTCTCTCAAATTTTTCGACTTTGTTTATTTTTAGATTTGAAACCATGACACGCCACAGTTTTTCCTATTCAGAAACAAATATTAGGTTATTCATGAAATAAAATGTATTCATTGTCGAATGAACGAACATGCATTTATTCAGTCCGTATTTTACTTCCGTTTTAAATTCGCGGCAAGAAATCAAAAACTGAAAAATAGGGGACACACTTTTTTTTCAAAGGACACACTTTTTAAAAAAAATTACGTCCTTGGGACTCACAAATTTTCTAACCTAATGCAAGCACTGAGTGCAGGATCCCTAATAGGCACAAACATATCATCTATATCAGAACTCATAGAGGTAGCCGTTCACTCATTTTCATCAATGGCTATTCTTCACTCTTGTCATATTGATTTGTAAAATGCTTTAGTACTCCTTCAAATTGATGACTCAAGGAAAATGGTATACTGTTAGAATAGAATTGTTATGTGGAGTACAAAGCCCCTAATCAATTGCAACTAGACAAACGTCAGATTACTCTACTCAATAGTATCTAATGGGGATTGCACACAAACAAATAGTGCCTCACAGGTTTTAAAAAATAAATGCTGCACACACAAGCTTGACCACCCAGGCTTGACCAACACGTGAATGTGACAAAATGATACTATCTGGTAACTTATTGAAAATGGTTACAAAAGTTTTAACCTTGAATTCCATATATATAGGGTCTGTTTCCCCGCTGGTGGTAGAGTAGTAGTGAGCACAGACCCGTAAAATACATTTCAAAAAATAATTAGATGACTAAGTAGAAAATTCTTTGACAGAAGACATGGGATTTAATTTCTGACAGAACTATCTACTACATGTATGGGTATTCAACCGATATCAATGAAGGTTTATATAATTGCCCCGGATCACAATACAATCTTGCACATAATTGACATATGGTTAGATGTCTCAAACATGATTAGTATTTAGTACAAACTATCTTAATTAATACAATGCACACACTTTTCAGTCACTTCAACATTCAGACTTTTTTACCTGATGGACCTACAAATAATATAAAGTGGATTTCTTATTTCAAATTGGTATCATCATAAATGATTGAAGAGCTATGAAATCATTATCTTTTGTTTCCTGAACAATATTGCATTAAAATAACATTGTTCTATTATTAAGGTATTATAAAGATAATCGTATCAAGTACATGAAAAGATTATTTTATTTTTTGATTAAAATAAATTGGACCCATCTCATTTTTATGTGTAAAAAGTATATACAATTGGAACATGATGATAAATAAGATAACTAGCCCTAATGACTGAGACTATGTAATGAGATATAATAAAAAGCTCTATGCTATATTTACCATTGCCTCGCTGCAGAAAACTCCTTGTGTCTGGAAATTTCATCTCAAGACCTGCAAGGAAACATATACATACACATACATTATCAAATGAGATACTATACCAAAACATGTAAATCATTATATTGATGTGAATAGAAGTGCATCTTTTACTTTTTTTGTCATTTTGCAATAGACTAGATGCGAGTAGACATAATCTTGATTTACGTCATTAAATATTCAAAATTCAGTCAAAGTACATCTAGAAATATGGTTTCGAAAATTGTTTATCAACTTTGAAAATTAATTTTTTTTGAAAGTTTGACTTCTTGTTCGAGTTGATTCCCCATAGACCCAATGTTACAAAATCACAAAAAGTGAAATATCTTTTCTTGTATTGGACAGATAACATTTTCTTTTACTGGACATATTTCAATTTGCATAACTATTAGATATTTAAGGGTTATATGAAAATTGAACCACTTAAACAAATGTAATTTAATTTAAAGGGAACTTTCTGCTATACCCGCCATGCTATCTGACCCGAACGAGCCACCTGGTGGTGAAACCTGTAAATACCTACTCGCATCTGCGTTATTAAAATTTCACAACCTGGTTAGTTCCAAATGCCAATCATCATAGTACCAGATGTCAGTCACGTCACAATCTGTTATGGCTGTAACAATCGGGGTAACATAAAAAATGTCATATCTCACCTCCTAATGATCCTTTCACAGAGAGATCCGACACTTTCACTTCAATCTCAGCAACCCATGAGTACAAGTCATCACGTCCAAGTCGCTGCATTATATTCTTCAACTCTTTATAATTTCCCGGTTCTACAATGCCCTGGAGTTCTAATGAGTTCAGTAAATCTAGTCTGGTAGATTCAAATGAAAGTTCTTGCATTTGCCAACCTCTACAAGTATTCCGTAATCCTGTAATATTGTCAGGGGTTAACTGTCGAGATATATCAACTAAAAGTTTGTAATGCAGTTTTCTAATGTCTTTCTGATATTTATTCGTGAGCACATCATTTATGGGGCAGTCATCTGAAATAGAGGATATTTATTAAATAATTACCAAATTACATACAAATGTGCTTGTTATCTCAATGATTATAAAACATTTTCTTCAGAGATATATAAAATAATCATTTTGCTCAGTTGTCATGATTAGTTTGCGATTACTCTCAGTTTTCAATTACATCATATTCATAGTATACCATTGCTTCCTATATTTGATTTTACTGAACTTTAAACATTTTAAAAACTGTGGTAGAATACTAAGAAAAGTTGGAAATCATAAATACGCACAACTGATTGAGTTTACTGATATCTTACCCAGGAGTCCATTTTTGAAACCGTCGTAACTTAAGGTTTAGTTGCAAGTCATTTTTCGTCTAAAAGTAGACAATAGTTTTCTGAATCATAAACTACGATCATGTACCCCAGTGTAATATTCAATTCTTTAATATCTTACCCAATGTAACTTTCAATAGTTTGCCTATCTTATTGCCTATCTCTTCACATTTCTCAGCCAGATCCATGCGTCCCAATACAATCATCATATCCCATAGGCTTTTATAGTTGCCAGGGACGATAACTCCCTGTTGCTGTAACCCATACATCAAGTCCAGCATTGTAGAATAAAATGGTAAATCATCACAAGTGTATCCCCAAGCGTGGATAATGCTCTTTAGTTCTTTGAACTCATGAGGTGCAATGAGTTTGCTTATATCCAGAATGATCATATTGTTCATATTGTTTACTTCAGGGTTCTGTGTGGCCTGTGTGATAGCACCACCACCTGGAAATATGAACATATCACTAGTAGGGGATATCTAATGTGCCTAATTTTAACATATATAAGGATCATGTACTGGGAGGTTTTGGATATGGTTTTTATCCCGAGGGAGATATGGATATCTACCTGAGGGACTGTGAAATCTGTATCCTATGTGTAGTTCATGTGACACTGAAGCTATTGTATTACTGAAGTGTACAGACTCAAATAGGGAGCATTTTTTAGAGGACAGAGTTATGATAACATATAATCTTCATATAAACAGAATTTTAAAACAAAAACTCCATAAGAGAAAAAAATGAAAAATGTAAATATTGTTGATTCTAACCCACCACCCTAAAACATATAATATTGGCCATAAATGTAACCAGAACAACGGCAACGCCAAAGCGTAGCGAATCCCATCGAACAGCCATGGAAGGCATTTTTACAAATAACAAAGTATATAGCAAAAATGGCCGCCTCCTACCAAAAGTGTCATTAGACCATTTGCCATACTTATAGTATTCACAAACCAAATATGAACAAAATCGCTCCACTACTTTTCGAGTTATAGTAAAATATGTTAAAATGGCGGCCATTTTGAAAAATGGCCGCCTTCTACCAAAAGTGTCATTAGACAGTGTGCCATGCTTACAGTATTCACATGCCAAATATGAACAAAATCGCTTCACTACTTTTCGAATTATTATAAAATACATTAAAATGGCGGCCATTTTTCAAATTTTTTTTCAAAATGGCCACTTTCTACTAAAAGTGTCATAAGATAGTGTGTCATGCTTTTAGTATTCACATACCAAATATGAACAAAATCGCTCCACTACTTTTCGAGTTATAGTAAAATACGTTAAAATGGCGACCATTTTTCAAAATGGCCGCCTTCTACCAAAAGTGTCATTAGACAGTGTGCCATCCTTATAGTATTCACATACCAAATATGAACAAAATCGCTTCACTACTTTTCGAGTTATAGTAAAATAGGTTAAATGGCGGCCATTTTTCAAAATGGCGGTCATTTTTTAAAATGGCCACTTTCTACCAAAACTGTCTTTAGACAGTGTGCAATGTTTATAGTATTCACATACCAAATATGAACAAAATCGCTCCACTACTTTTCGAGTTACAGCAAAAATCGTAAAATAACGAGTAAAGGCCGCCATTTTTCAAGATGGCTGCCATGTGCTTCTTTAATATCTACATTTCTAGCTTTATTAATGTCCTATATAATTTTTCTACATCTAAAACATATTGCTATTACAGTTTTACATATTGCACCTAAATTACTGTAAATTCGGCACTAAAATGGCCGCCATTTTGAAATGAGCGGCCATTTTGAAAATCAGCTTTCGAGCAGAACTTCTACCCCCATAGGGTATATGTGTACAAAATATGAACAAAATCGGGCCAACGGTATTTGAGTTATTGCCCGGACGGACGGACGGACGGACAGACGGACGGACGGACGGAGGCGTTCCCTATATCCCTCCGAACTTCGTTCGATGGGATAATAAGTAATTAATGATTACGGTGATTTATTCAACAAAGAGTCAATGAAAAAATTACATGTACCAAATTCCATACATACCCAGATGTTTTAGTAAAAAGGGATGCTATCTTCTTGTTGTAAAAAGGTATTGTCTAAATGCCTCGAATAATACACACATACAATTTCTATTTTAACTATCATATTCATACATACTGTTATTTTCCTCCTGATATTGTCAAGTTCTATAACATGCAAAACAAACTTTCCCATATCTTACCTACTGTCTCCCTTATACAAACAATCTCTCTCTCAGTCTGAACAGCAAGCTCTGACAAGTCCCCGCGTCCAATCTTGCTCAGCATTGACACCAGAGTCCCATACTGACCCAGACTTATGCCACCTACTTCCTCAATAGCTTGGCACACAGCAATACAAGAGTTGGCATTCAGCAATCGCTTGGTTTGGCGGACATTGTGTGACGAGCACTGAGATTTAAGGCTGGAGAGTTCACTGGATGATAACTCATTATGAAGATCGAAGAAGAGTTTGTAATGAAGTTTGCGGATTTCTTGAACCCCTGGAATATGAAAAATCATAAACATATCTACTGGCTTTTAATTTTGATGCCATTGGTTGGTCTCGTGGGAATTTGTGTTCGATTTGAATGTCATACTTCACACAATTTCTGCGCTAACGAAACACACATTTAGATTTCTTTATCATCACAATAATTTTAGTTAGGTTGAGTTTAGCATACCATACCATTAATGCATTTCAATAATTTATTTGTAAAAAAATATACAGTATTGATTAATAGCTGACCAAAGTGTAACATTTTTGATATTTGTTATTTTTGTTAATCCTACCATGTTGGTTTGACTGACACCTAATATTGATCTCATCAGCTAGTTTAGACACAATGTGGTTATAGAGGACAGCATTGTCTCCAATGCTGATGTGGCCAAAGTTATAAATGAGTGGTGCTAATTGTGAGAATCCTTCCTCCAAGTCTGCTGGTCGTTCTACCACTAAAGCACCTATTGTTCCTGGCACAGATATATTACCCTAGAAATAATGAAGGTTGCATATAAAGTACAATTGTAATTTACTGTTTTTTGTCAACTTAATCTGGTGACTGATTTAATTTTGCGAAATTGGCTTATTTCAAAAATTTGCTCCTTCATTTCTTCGCCAATTTTTCAGAAATCCCTGGGATGTTTTTGTTCTGTGTAAATTCGCCAATTCCACAGATATTAATCTTAAGGCTACTGAATTCGCCAAATTAAATCCCGCCAAATTAAGTTCACTAACAGTATTCATTTTATTCACATGTTGATAAATTCTATGATAGTGTGTTTTTAAAAAAGTGAGATGTATAATAAAATAGCCTAATATTACTAATTTCTTGCAGAATAAAACTCAACGAAATACAAATATACGTATATTCAGTGGAAATAGCAATTTGGAAATGATTTAGTTACCTGTCCAACATCAAGGTCAACATATATAGGTGACCTTCCTAGCCTAGCTGCATAATTCAGTAGCAGCTTACACACTGTCGTCTTCCCAACATCCATAGGTCCGACTACCATGATCTACAACATATACAAGTTTAGTCATGCTTCAAATCTCAAAATTATTTTTATTCTAATAATTTATTCCATTTTCTAATGTGGCGCAAAACAATTTGAAAAATATCTATAAATGCCACACTTCTTATAACTCTCGTGGCTAAACTTTTAAGCACTCAAATTGTATTTAATTATCATTATTTATGTTTATTTATTTATCATTATATGAAGTTATCATATAACAAATAATGTTATAGCCATAAATTCCATATTATCATCTATATGTGCCTAATACAGTGAAAGGACAGTGGTGTCTGTAGATACTTACCCTGGGCCCTCGACCACCTTCCTTTAAAGCAATTTGTCTCATCTGGTCCAAAGCAGCATGTGTGTTGATGTAGATTGTCATTGGGGTCTCTTGGGCAATGTAGGCAACCTCTGTCTTGCCAGTCAAGTGCATGTGTTAAGAATTGTATAACATATTTTGCAACATGTTTCGTAAATGGTGAATATCTAAGTGATTCTTTTTAATTTTTGATTTTTAAAGTGGCTCACCTGCTTTTAACTCTGATACTTTAAGACATCTATCAGAATTAACAAAATTCAAAACAACCTGTAACTTGCACGATTGATAGGCTGAAGCAAACACTCTAAGAGTTTGGGTACTTTTCATCCTGTACAAGGTGAACATTTATTTTAAACTGAGAAAATTTAGAGAGTTTTTATCAAAGTATATTGATATTATAAGTTACAGTTACAGGTGAATAGTTTTTTACAATAATATATTTCTCAGATACAAATACATATTTTTTGAAGATGAAGAGTTTCTTTGAAAGGATATTGATACACTGCATCCTTGGAAAGTAAAAATTGCAATCTTGGAACCACCAGGAAAATAAAATTTCTTGTTCTTTGTTAACTCTGTTCCAAATATTTCTGCAAGGCCTCCTTTCAGCTGAAACAAAATGAGTTTTGATAATTGTTAACATAAAGAAGATAGGAGTACATTTTAATACATGACAAAATGAGACCCAAAATGGCTACCATTTAAAGGAAGATTGTAGTGTATACTTGATATTCTATTCCTTTGCCACAATCACTATTAATTTGTGAAAACAAATGAAAAACTAAATTTCTACTTCTATATCTATTTTCATTAAAATTGAAAATGCTTTCACATATGGTATGTCTTTTATCCCCTAAGCTCAAGGAGAAGACTCGTTATATGAAAGACCATGTCGATATTTTCATGCTGTCCAAAAACAGGTACATATCTACATTTCAGATTCTTAATCCCCCCTCTCCTTACACCAAAATCATCATTGAACATCAACTGAACCAAGATAGTAATTTTTATTTCTTTTATTCATTTTTGACTTCATCTGTTACTGATCTTACAGGCAGATATCATGAGTACATGTAGTTTCCTTACCTCCACACAAACATTAGCGTCATGTTCAACCTCAAATCTGAGTTCAGTATCGGGAGCAAGTGTGTAAACTGTAGTTTTCTGAAAGCAATAAACCATTTAATTTTAACTGTTAAGGACTGCATGTATAGTACATGTATATTCACATATTATATGTATAGTCACAGTCTGGTGATATGATAGATGATATTGATATCCAATTATGCAACTATGGGCTTTTGAAAGCCGATGATATGGCTAATCCTGAATTCCTGATTGCGATTTCTTGTTGGTAGATTACAAAATTGAAACTAACTTTAACTCTCACTGCCAGTGTTACATATGATAGATATTATTACTATTTGTCATTGATAAAGATTTTGACAAGGATTACAAAGGCCACTTTCCTAGTCCTACCAGTATTCATTTTACACCCGTGCTATTACTATATCACTCGTGTTTTATGTCATATTAACGAATTATTCAATGATGTCAAATAATCTTTTGACTTCATTTTTCAACTTTCGTAGGTCTCAAGAGAAATAAATTGCAGTGTCATGAAATGTAATTTGTAGACATGTCAGCCATGTATGTCTTCAGGTGAGATTATTGGAATATTGTTTCATGTTTTATGGTCATTTGAAGATGAGTTTCTTAGGAGACAGAAATTTGTCATTTCTAAGATAGAACAAAGGGCAGTTGCAGCAAAAAGGCAGAGTCAATAGATAATAGATATGAGGCCCATGGATCTCTACAAGCATCGTCTCCTGTATTAGATCATTGATACACCTTTCACTGATATCTCCAATATACATGTATGCAACAACATATCAAAAGCAGTGAGAGTCACATGCTGTTATGTTCTGGATCTTCTGGATCTTAACTTCATGATCAAAGTTTTCAAAAATAACACTTTTCTGATTGTATATCATGATCTAGATCTGACCTATCACTAGAGCCAGTAGATCTACAGTTCGTTAAACTGCTTCAAGACAACAAGTTGAACCTAAAAATAAGAAATCTAAATGTTATTGTGCAATAATATATGGAAAAACATATTCATACTGCACACAAATGACATTTGTATATTTCAGATAATTTAGTGTTTTGTGAAATAAGCCTGTGCTCTCTTGTTATTTGAGGTCTATCCGCCAAGTTATTTTTTCAGAATTAACATTGCAGAGAAGCATCAAAATATAAGAGGTTACAGATTTTATAAGCCAATTCACAAGCAATCTAAGATATACAAACATATGTCATTTGTGTGCAATATGAATATCTTTTTCTCTATATTATTGCACAATAACATTTAGATTTCTTATTATTTAGGTTCAACTGGTTGCCTTAAAGCAGTTTAACCAATCTTCATTCAGTGCAATCCGTGCCTCCTCTACTTTACCTCATGCAGATCTTTAAATTCCTGTGAAATTTATCCTTCTAAATTGTTGACCTACTTCAAAAATAAAATATTTCTTCGTGTTTGCAACTGATTAATTCACTATATTTTATAACATTTTTATTTCTAATGTAGAAAGAATTCACTTTTGTTTATAAATAACACATGTCGATGTGATGTTTTAATCGATAAAATCGAATTTCTTACACATTTCTCTATCTTGTTGTGAAATAACAAGCTATGATATAACTCGCCAGAAATTAACATAATATTATTTGAAGCTTTTTTGAAAATTTTGACACTGCCATTTTGAAAATGTGTAGCAATGTTGAACCCAGTGATTATCGGTCTTGACATTTTACAATTTGTTGTTCCGCAGAAATTTTACCTAAAAACACATCAAATGCAAAATTGATTACCAACTTCGATGGTATTTAAAATCATTTGTCAAATGCAATGTTATGATTTATGTTATATCAAAGATTTGGCATTGTTGATTCAGTATTACAGATCGTACTAATTTTTGAAGCTTTTTCAGATCATGTCCAGGGAATGGTTTAGAATCGTCAGATCGGTAGATCTAGCGGGCCTGTCAACTGTCCCACAATTTGCGTATTTGTCACGCATTTGCTGAAGAATTTGAAGTCACGCCAGTTTTTTTTGCGTAACAGAAAATGTCACACAAATACGCATTTTACCTGGTAATTGTCAAGCAAAAATATGTTTACGAAATGGTAAAAATACGAACGTCGGAAAAAAACCGAAGGCAATTTGTTCGGATTTGTCACGTGAATCCCGTGTATGTGTTAAAAATTTGGACAAGTGTTCAGATTTGGACTTAGAATCCATTTCACTGCTTCATTTCGTCAGTAGAATGGCAAAAATAAGAAATTGGGAGACCATTGTGCAATAATATATGGGAAAGTATATTCATAATGTACATGAATGACATTTGTATATCTTGGATTGCTTTTAGTTTGGCTTATAAAGTGTGTGGCCTCATATATTTGGATGTTTCTCTGCCATGTTATTTTCAATAAGATTAACATGGCTGAAATTCTTCAAATTACAAGACGGCACAGGCTTATTGCACAAAAAACTAAAAAATCTGAAAAATACAAATGTCATTCATGTACATTATGAATATACTTTTCCATATATTATTGCACAATGGTCTCCCAATTTCTTATTTTTGCCGTTCTACTGACGAAATGAAGCAGTGAAATGGACTCTAGGTGTCCAACATTTGTAAGTCACTCATATTAGGTGGTCCCAAGTTGACAGCCCTGATCTAGTGAAGGTACTCAATAGTGTTGTCGCGATTAATCGATACATTGCGATATACATCGCAAAAGCTGGTACTGGCGATGCATCGATGTCTGAAACAAAACATCGATGTTTTTTGAAAAAAATAAATTTGCTAAAAATCGCCCTTTCTTATCTTATTTTGAGGCAAATTGCTTACCTTTTTTCATGTCTTATTTCATTTTCCAATGTTTTCTGTTCTTTCGCTTTTAAACTGTTTTAGCTAGTCGAAATGAACAATTAATCTAAAAAAATTACTTTCATTTCACCGTTACTATAAGTTCCCGGATGTACCACCGCACTCTTATTAATTTGTTCTGTTCGGTATTTTAGAGCATTAGCGTTCAGTATTTTGGTGCACTTTTCTCGAACTTTTTCTCGATGTATATCGCGATGTGCATCGATGTTTACAACTGAAAATTGCCGATGCATCGATGTACGATTATGCCACATCGCGACAACACTAGTACTCAACGAACGAACTGTAGCCTAGATCTTCTGTTTCTAAATTTATCCAAAAATATGAAATTGCTTATTATAGGGTCATACCTCTTCCTTTTGATCAGCCATAGCAACTGGTTTTGTGGGCCTTTACAATGACTTTAAATTTATCTTCGCAAAAATATCGATAAAAGTCTCAATTTAACGATACACAAACGAAAGTCTTTCAGAATTTCAAAATTTGTGTATTTCGATGGGCGCCGCCATTTTTATTTCTTCAACTCTCGTTCAAACGACAGTTGCTTTATTTGAAATATATCAAGATACAAGCTGATCCATACACATTTATCACTTTTTTATGCAACAAAAATTTGAATTCAAGAATAATATATCAATGTAATGATTTATCATTACATTTTATGCATTGAAATATTTCACCTGGAGATTGGTCTTGGAGATTTCATTTTGGATTTTGACGAACCAAAACATACTCTGAAATTACTACTGAAAAACCCAAGGAGGATTGGCTCCCAGAGTGCACCACCGATATTCTGTCCCATATATGGGTATGTCGTAATACAAAATTCGAATTCAAACAGCCGCCATTTTGTTCACTTCAACATTTAAATCGTGAATTTTGGTCTTATTTCCAAACGAAAAATTCCAAAACTCACAAGAAATGATCGAGATATTGGTTCGAATCTTTTGAACTGTTTATTTTGAATTTATAGTCGGTTTTAATTTCAGAAAATAACGACATTTCGACGTTTTCATTGTTGGAAAATATCGAGTTTCGATCCTGGGAGCCAATCCTCCTTGTGAAAAACCTGGATTTCTGAGGAAAACGGAGGGTTTCGCCCACAGAAAGGTATGCACGTTATTTTTATTATCTTCATACTTTGATTCAGCCCCTTTTTTATACAGTGCAGAATACTTGCCAGAATCTCAAAAACAAGTCGATTCAGCTCGATCTCCTAAAGAAAGTGAACAACATCATGAAATTTCTAGAAACACCTGGATCCTTGTCTACTAACTACAGTTTTCTTAGATCATGCGCTGAGCACTCTAATATTTATTCAGATGTTTGAGACGCACTTGATAGATCTAATGCATGTCAAGATGACATAGATGGTGCATGACTGTTATCCCGTTCCCGGACTATGGTCCTGTACGGAGCCCATACATTTGCCTGTACGATTACAACATGGGAGAATTTTTTACTGATCTTACACTTCAGATACCTACTTCAATAGATTCCTTGGTAATTTAGCATTCTTTTCGTGTAGTTGAATCCACAATTGTCTGGGTTTATCGGCAGAACGAAGACATTTTCGTTTTTGATCGCAATATTTGCGTGTAACATTTAACCTTTTTCAACCGTCAAATTCCTCCATATTGGTACTTCCAGGCTACATCCGGGACAGCCAAACGGGGGATTCCCCGTTTAAATCCAACCGCCATTTTGAAAAGTGATGGAATCTCTCTCGATGAAAAAGAGAAAATGTTCTCGTTCTACCGATATACCCAGACAATCGGCGGTTCCAATATATTAGAAGTTACATCTTGAGTTCTATAATGCATTGAGGTAGGTATCTTAAGTGTAAGGGGCGTAGATAATTCTCCCAAGTTGTAATCGTACAGGCAAATGAATGCGATCAGTGCAGGACTATAGTCCGGGAACGGGATAACATGACTGCATCTGTCAGTTTTTCTCAATATAGACTAGGGTGAAGGTGTGTAATGACACCATTTTGGGGTAACTTCGACATGTGGGTTAACTTTGACACCTTGTTGTTTATTTGGTCTATTTTACGATTAAGGGGGAAGCCACCTTTTTTTTCTCGTATGGATCGAGATCTCGCGAAATTTTATTTTTCCAGAAATCAAACATGGCGGAAAACAGAAATTCTACTTCTAAGAAGGAAGTGTCGAATTTACCCCTTCTCTTATGTCGAAATTACCCCACACATTGACGTTACACCCCTTTGCCCTAGTAGATTGCAATTTACAATGCCTGAGAGAGGGGGAGAGACTGGGAACCAACTTCTCCGTTGTGTAAACAATAACAACAATAAAGGTAAGATACATGGAGTTAGACTGGCGGGTACTTTGACACATAAAAACTGGCAATGTGTATTTTTTTGCAAATGACCTCTATATATTGGTATGGCACAATTAATATACACTCAAAGTTACAATGGTCCTGTAAATTACTCTCTACGAGGACATAAAAATGTTGTGTAGCAATAGAAAAAAAGCTAATACTAGTTACTAGTAATCTGATATTTGTATAGGTAGCAGCTGATAGGTAGGGATCCAATAAGCTGGTTCTTTATTCAACTCTTTCTAAAAAATATTGATCTGAGATTTCTAGAATGTTAGAGATTATAACAAACTGCCTATCTAGATTAAATATGAGCTGCGTAAAAGGTAAATCAATAGAGACATTAATGCTAATAGTTATGAAGTAATGGCTAGACAGAACAAGGTAAGGATATAATGAGGCACTGATACAAATTTCAAACACAAGTTAGGATTTATAATCTATTAGAATATAATTCAAAATTATAGTACATTCTCCTGACTACTAACCTGGGAAAAGTTCTCCACATGTCATCAAGTCACTTGTCGGCAAAATAATTGTTCTTTGTCAGATTTATAGTAATTTCGAAAAATTAATTTACCGAGACGGGTAGATATGTAACTTCAAGAAATATGATTTATTTATGTGTTAATCCTTGTATTTATTTTTTGAATTGGGTAGGGGTTCATTAAAAGGAGATCACCAGTGTCATTGACTAACCTTTCAGTACCCAATATATAAAATCATCTCACAATACATGTTACTGTAGTCAGAATTGAGGGTAATGTGGCTAACTGATATGAATTTTGGAATATGATCTTTATTTGTTGACTCCCCAAGGTGAACTTTCATATGGATGTGGACCAGTTCCAACAGTTTCATCAAAAGTATAACTTACATTTTTCTGACCATATTACAGTATGATATGCAATTGATCTCTCCAGGGATGGGAGTTTTGCCTAAAGAGAAACTTACCTACATGTACATCCGCTCAAGGCATATTATTATTAATTAATGTAACATACAAAGACAGTAGCAGGTACACCAATCAATATGTTTTTTATCATCGGGATATCTGTATCAATTCAATTGGAAGAACAGAGGCATATAACATGGAACTGTTATAATTATAATATCTCTTAATGTATGCAAAGTAGGCCAGTTCAAGTAATTGATACCATTTTTGTAAAGTATGAAAACTTCGGCCCTTTGACAGATGATCCCACATCTTTCTGCCTTCAACTAGAAGTATGCCTTCTTGAAAGAAGATAATAGAAGTCCATGATTTCTCATTATGGATGATCCAAAATTCTGAAAGACATTTTCATCAAAATAAATTTGTGTACATGTACTTCATATATATTTATTAATGTAGTTAGAAGTTGTCAAAAACATTTGTTGAGGTCAACTTATGTTGTTATTATTATGTATCTAGGTCAAGCCGACCCTTGGCATTCTACAAATTAAAGCAGTGATTAATCATGCCTCTCATTTTGGTAACAGTTATAAAACAGGGAGCAATACAAATTAGAAAAAATAAACAATTGTTTTTTCGGGGGGGGAATGTTAGTTCAAATATGAAGCAATGATTAATGCATTTTGCAATTTTATTTTGTTACATTTATTTGATTTAGTTTCTCAGTAAACCTATCCTTCCCATGATTCATAATATAATCCCACAAGTAAATCATGATTTTGTGTGTGTTTTGGAATTGACGACTATCCAAAATTGTACACGGCTCATTAAAAATATTTATAAGAATAGCTGAACCTAAAAACTTTGGCAGTGGCATAAAGATAAAAAAGCACCCGAGTTGTTATAGTTCAATATATGTTTTGTTGTTTTGTTATACCTAAAAGCTAAGATATTGTCCTTAGCTTGACGGGTGCATGAACAGCATCTCATTGTGCATATCCAAATACTTGTAAACAATATCACAGGTTGATTTGAAAATTTCAGGGATGCTTTATTATATAAAATATAGTTCTGATTAGTTTTTGTGCTGGCCAGGTATTTGCAGTTAGCATTTTTGTTGGTTTTAAGGTACAATATTGTTCACTACAGACTTGTGTAATCATATGATGAAGTCGATAAGATAATTAGTCAAATGCTTACAGTTTCCTTGCCTGATTTTGTATGGTTTATATTTCTTCTATGGTTACGTTTAATCTGAAACATAGGACTAAATCTTATAAATGGATTATTTGAGTTGACAGTATATTTTAGGCTAAATGATAGAGAATTTTGAACATTCATGAACAGACTTCTTTGATTTGCTTTAGATGTTTATGTACACTCTAAGTAATTCTGATTCAAGAAATAAGATATTGATAAGATCATAGTCTTTCATCTGAATGTATCATCTTTATAAAACCTATTTTATTGATTATATAGAATGCATTAAAACAGTTTAAAGTAAGATTTTATTTCTCAGACAAACAAAGTGGTAGAAATATATTCTCTAGTAACAATAAGAGAACTTCACAAACCAGAGTCTGTTTTTGCGGACATCTTGAAGTTACAGATCAAGTTACAAGTCATTTGTCAGTAAATAATTCATAAATCTCAGAAAGCACATGTGATTTATAGATCTAATGTTTGAGGAAATTCTATCCCTGTTACATGAAAACAATAAAAGATGTACAGTATTCATATAGCGTACCAAATGTACTGATAAGAGAGCTGATGCCATCATTTTTCTTAGCCATTAATTTTTCGTCTTGTAACCTAGATGTTCTAAACCATTTATCAGCTGGCATTTTAACCATAATTTTCTCACTTTTGATATTTTGGTCTGCATATTTTCTATGAGATCATCTTTGGAATTATGGCAGAAGCATCTTTTGCCAATTTCATAGCCGATATTTCATATCTCATGCAGTGAAAATACTGAAAATAGATATTGCTGGTTATTTATCTTGTAAAAGAGTAGGTGGTCGGTCGTCATGATATAAATAAAAGATTAACACCAAATTATTATCTGTTACTCTTTGTTAGATGTCAAATTTGTTTATGCACTTTCAATTCTTTTATCTTATATTCAATTAGAACATTTGTGAGATATTCAAAACAACACATTTCTGCTCTAACTCCCTTAAAAGGTTCTGAAATGCTCAATTCATATTGTTTGTTCTTTTTTAACGTATCTATTAGTTATTTGCATGTTATACTATATGTTCAATCTCTCAGGAAATAAGATTAATTAATAATGAAACAAGTCTCCTGGGTTATATGGGTACAAGCAAAATAGTTTGATTGATCACACTACAAGTGCAATATATATTAGTCAGTTTGATCAAGTGCTGAAAGCTGGATTTTCTCTAACAGGTATTTTAAGTAACCTGTGAATGTGAAATTGGGTTGAAATGTTGATCAAGTGATTGCAGTTTACAGGGTGGGTGAAAAGTAGATTTACAGTTTACAAAACATGATTGTTGAATAACTGTAAGCCTATATTTTGGCCACCCAGTATATCATGCATGATATCACCCTGAGGCTGCTTTGAAAGGGACAAATAAATATATAGACTTGATGCTGATCTTAATAATCCCAAATGTATATTGCTGTCATTGGTAGCTGGTTTTTACGTTGTACTCTTATAAATTTATTGGCATGAGGATGCAGATGTTTTCATTTAGTTTCAACCCCTCACTGAATACTTCAGAATAGTATTTGATGTGACACGTAGAGAATACATAAAGAGCAAATTGTTTGAAGCCTATGAAATGGCTTGTGGAACTTTATCAGCCATGTTACAAAGTTGTTCTTGAGAGTAAATCAACTT